CATTATAGTTACAGACTTATTCAACAACATTGACTCCAGACATGCAGAATTAAGATTTGGTGCTGGAGATTCTGGCTTTAGAGATTTCAACAAGCCATAGAACATAGTCCAGATTCTGCAGATGGTCATAAACAAATCTTCTTATTTCTGGAAGAACTTCAGTTTTATTTTTGACACACAATTCTTTTACTCCAAGGTCATCCATAAAGGCTCAAGTAATCTCTGAAAAAATCTTGTATATTATCTTCATTATCCTGCATTGGGCTTGAGCTGGCAAATTCATTGCCCCTTGAACTAAAGTCATATGGCAAAAGAGCCCAATAGGGGTTGCAATGGCTGTCATATCTCTGCTTTCTTCAGCTAATGAAAATTTATCATATCCAGAGAATAAGTCACATAGACTAGCCATAACAAGTCTGCTGAAATCTTTAGCATATTCATCAACATTAAAATGAATAAAAGCATCTGAAATAGTAACTTTGTTGTACATATGTGCTGCATCAACTAAACAATATTCACCTTTCTGTTTCTTTGCAACCAGAAAATAGAAATTGGTATATGAACCATGGCAAGACTCCAACATTTTAGCTTCTAACCGGTTCTGAATGATTTTAATTAGCTTATCATGTAGAGCACAAGGAATTCAGTAAGTCTTAGTCTGCCAAGTCTCATGGGGCTCTGTCCAAATAACCTGGGGAGGCAAGCATTCAGAATGAACACCACATAGGTCTTTGAAGGACCAAGCCAACACCTCTTCACATTTATAAAGAACTGATATGAAAAATTTCTTCTCCTGACTTATCAGTTCAAATCCAATTTTGAGCTTCTCAATTCTCTCATTTGTTAGTCATTCTCCAACAGGAAAGGGCACAATTCTAGACTTAATATGATCATCAAATTCACAATTAAATGCAACACATTTCTCCTCAGGATAATACTTATCCAAACAAACATTCACCCAATTATCTAGGCCTTCCAGCTTGCTTTCATCAGATTTTCCAGATGCTAATGGCCTTATCTTATCAGCTTTCCACTTATAAGCAGTGCACACTCTCCAGACCTCTGAAGAAGGCAGCCCAATGTCCCATCCACTATTGAAAATGTCTATCTGATGCAATTTCTTCATGATAAAATCATGATTTTTGTTCAGAGATGCATAAATTGATTAAGCACTTCATGGAATAGGTTTTCAAATTAAGCTGAAATTAATATCACATGTGTAATGTTTGCAGTGAGCCATGACACTGTCTGGATCAGAAAGCAGCAGTTGGAAAATCTGAACTTCTGATGCAAAATTATCCTTGTCTTCTGATTGGTTCATTTGATTCACCAGCATGCTGGTCAATCTGATTAGGCTTAGTGTGCTTTTGGATTCACTAACACCAGAATTATGTTTCTCCTCATCACTATAATCACCAATGCTGGCAATGCTGCCAATGCGCCCAACTTCTCTATTCTTTTCAATCTCCTAACCTTCAACCTTCTCATTATTAATTCTTATACCCATCATCTTCATCATATCTTCTTCATTCTTCTCAGGCCTTGTATTCATGAACATTCACCTGATTAAATGCCTGTTGAATTGTTTAAATGATCACTGTTCAATTTATCAGTTGCATATCTCATGTTGCTTGAGTTTAACTTAAAGTCTTTGAAAACTAGGCAACACATTCATTTCTTGTTATAAATTTCACAGTTCACTCTGCTGTCTTCTGAGATATTGCACCCCCAACAGACAGCAAATTGTCAAGGTCTTTCAAGAATAAGTTGCTGATTCCCTCTCTTGAATATAAGAAAAGGGGTATGTGTAACAATATCTCCAATTTGAACAGACACTTCATCACAAAACACATAAAAAGGAGTGACTTCTCCTGTTTGAACAACCATGGTCACTCACAGCTTATTTTTCATTGGCAGATTCAACATTTCAGCATACTTCTGAGACAACAAATTGATTTCTGAACCAGTATTGATCAATACTATTAATTCTTGTTGGTTTATAGTGACTGGTGCATATAATGAACACATTTCATATGCTGTTTTGGATTTTGGCACCATGGGCTTTGAAGTAAGTTGACTGAAATTGATCTTTAGCTCAGGCTGAACTGGTTCAGAGACTCCAACCCTTGCATGGCTTTTGCTAGTACTGTTATTCCAGCCTGATTCAAAAAACACTTGATGAAGTTTCAGTAATACATCTATAAGCTTCTTAACTAATAATTTGATCTTTTCATTGAGAATTTGACCCATTAATTCATTAGCATCTGTTGAATCACAGATCTGAGAGGATAAGCAATCTGTTGCAGAATATCTTGATCTTTGTTTCTCCACAGACTTGCTCTGAATTTCAGGCTTCTTCTGATTGATCAGTTCAACATCTTCCATGACATCATCATCAACACTAGCCTGATTATCCCAGTAAGTAATAAATTGTCCAGTACACTAAGTATGAGGTGTTGCAATCTTAGCTCTTTGATTGTTCTTAGCTTCTCCAACTGTTCCAATATTGATTGATGTTCTCTCTTTCAATGGTTTATATTTCTTATCCAAATTGGATTCTTTATCAGACATTAAGTATGCAAGTCATTCTGCTTGAACCTTCATACTGATTGAATTTGCAGGAGATGTCTCTTCTTGCTGATTGATCTTTTTTTGAGGGCTTGTCAACTTCAGAATTGCTCATTCATTCTCTCCCATAGACTGTACAATATACATGTTCAGGATTCCAGATTTAGAAGTGACAACTTGATAGTTTTGACTCTTAGAGCTCATGTGTAAGTTCTCTTCATTATCAATATAACAGTATCCATTACTCATATTGGATTGGTATTCATAACACTGAGATTGATGATGTCCAGGTTTTCCACAGTAGAAGCATGAGAAATGTGTTGAAATTCCTCCAGTTCAAGCTCCTCCTCATCCACAAGCATCACTATAGTCTGTCATAGAAGAGCCATTTCAAGCCAAATAGAGGTTGACTGACAGTTGAGTATTCTCTTGTACAGTTGTAGGATTAACAGTCATATTAGTTAGATAATTTGATATAGGTTTTGGAGGTCCTTCTCTCTGCAGCATATAATACTGATCAGAATTCTCTTGTATCTGATTTAATTGTACTCTCATGGCCAATGTCAAATTTGTGAACTCATTGGTCATCTTTTCAATAGCAGCTTTAATATTGGTGCTGTCAGAGCTCTTGGCTTTGGATTTTGATTTGGATTCTTCAGTCTTCACAAAACTAGCTGTTTTCTTTGGAGCTTCAACTGTAGGGGGCTTGCTAGCCAATTGATATTGCTCATCAAGCTTTTTCATTTTCTTTTGTTTCATTTCATCTTCTTTAAAGATCTTCTTATTCCCTTTATACTGGTCAATCAAATCCATAGTCACCTGAACAACTTTCCTAAAATCAATAGATGACATATTATCTGAAAGATTGAGCTTGGCCTTGTCAATAATCTTATTCTGGAGCTTCTCAGGTAGCCCTTGAAGGAATCAAGACACCTTAGTGAATTTATCAAGCCTTCTATTTGCTTGAACTGTACTGGCAATAGTAGTGTATTCTTGAACATAGATGTAAATGTTGCCATCCCAAGCACACAGTTTCTTTGTAATTGCCTGGAGATAATCCTGACAGTGAATCTTGTAAGTAATGTCTTGATCATGAAATTCATGAATAATCTCTTTGGAGAATACTTCTCAATTATCTTCTTTGTAGCCTTCCAAGATCTTCATTCATTCTCCAATCCATGTAACACAGTATCTAGCCAACCATTCAATAATGTTTTTAGGGTTAATTACCCCATGATCCTTGCACATCTGATAAAACCTTTCAATGAACAGAGTAGCATCTCCACTGTCAAACCAAGATGCATTTGCTGTGCCAGGGGAAGGCATAGGAATGTGAGAATGAACCACAATTCTCTTGTTCTCACCCTGTAACATAGTTGCATATAATTCTGTAGTATCTTCAGCCATAGTTGATTCTGATTCCAATTTCTTGATTTCTTGATTTTTGGTCATGTCACACAGTATGTTCTGTCTATTAGTCAATATCTTCCAAAAACCTGTTTATCAGGCAAGCTCTAGATAAGAGGCATTCAAATCTAAGCTCTCTAATCTTATTTCTAAATAAAAAACCTGATTAGTACTGTGTTTCTAGTCCATAAGATCTTATCTTGAAATAGTGTATTGCTTCATGTGTCTCAGAATTTGTTTTTTTTTCTCTTTCTTGACAGTCATCAAATTACTGCATTATCATCTTCAGGTCTCAGCTTGGTCATCAAATGAAGTGGGGTACAATAAGATGCCTTGTCAAAGTAGGTGAGTTGGTTGATATGGTGAGAGCACAAGAAAGGTGAAAAATCACAATATAGTAAGGGTATGATCAAGTAGTAAGTGTAGAGATAGGTATGTCCTAATGGATGCCTAAGCTCATAAGAAGTAATGGTACTAAAGAGCCCTGTACTAACACAGGCAGCTCTAATGAGAAACAGTAGCATGTTTCATGAACAAGAAATCTTCATATTCTCTAACTAATAACTGAACTGGTAGTAAGAAACAAGTGTGTAGAAAAGAGCCATGGTGCATGAAGGTAATAAGCAAGAAGCAGGGGCTACAGGTGGTTTATATAGCTCAAGAATAGTAGCTTTGGGGTAGTTTGCGCCTCGGACCGGAACAACCTTTGTCCTAATGAGGTACTGGAATCCCCATTACACTATCAAATTAGAGTGCAAGAGAATAATGCAAAACTTACAAGAGATTCAGTTCAAGAAAAGCTCTTCTCTGCTATTATCAAAAAAGCATCAATCTATAATAGATTCAAGAACCCAGCAACCACAAGCATCTCTCAATTCTAGAGCTAGTAGATGGTTGATCCTACTTGGAATATCTCTTGAATAATACAAAGAGCCAATTTCATCAAGAGAATAATTCAGTATTTTAACATCAAAGCTAATTATAGCTTGAATAATATCCCTCTTTTCTTTATTGCTCAAATACAGTCAGATATACACAAGAAAATAATCTGCTGCTTTCTCTATAATAATATACTCTACTTCAACTGGGTTCTCTAATGCATGCAAATTCCACACAAGTATCTTGGGAACTGGTAGGCCAAGCTCATTTCTAGTCTAAAAATAACCAGCATAAGAGGCCTGCTGAAATAAAGAGATGACAGCACATACAAAATCTATTGTAGTAATCTTACTAGCAGTTATGAAGTATGGAATATCAGAATTAGAATTGAGAACCCTCACAATGACTTGAGAGTCATTAATTATGATAAGAAGAAGACTCTTATTAAAGTTTTCTTCAGGCATCTTCTTAATTTTAATACATAATGCAGGGTCATGATCTAGATATCTTGCAGTAATTGCTGCCAATGCATCTATATTCAATCACACATAGCAAGCTTCAAGCTGCTGAGACTTATTAAACAGTCAGCATCCAGCAGTATAGCAGTAATAGTCAGAATTATCTTCTAGAAAACATCAGAATCTTGCTTAAGACAGACTAATATACCTCAAGAAATCATATCATATTTTCTTGTGAAGAATGTTCATTTTATTACCATGGGTGTAACTGCTAACCATAATCTTGGAGAAAAAATAAACAAAAGTCAAAAAAGTCATATGAAGTAAAAAGATATTGATTCAGTCAGATCACATCAGCATCATTATAGAGATCAATCTGGTATAAGAGAGTCAAGATAAATAAGTGGGAGTTTTATTCCTATGTGAAACAGGTCAGATGGGATTCTTGATTGTGTTAGGGGATACAGCTCACCCCTTGTACACGTGACCCCCTACACATGACTTCAAGCCTATGTAGTTAGCTACTGTAGCCTCTGCTGAATACTAGCAATAAATCCGCCCCAACAGATTGTTCATTTTGGTGTTGTGTACAGAGGTGTGGAACAAAAGTTCCCGGAAAGCTTATACAGACAATACTGTTTTACAAATACCTACTACCCCACCAAATTTGCTAGGAAACTCAAAGTATCCCTGAAATTAACTAGTTACTCTCATCTGAATTCTGTTCCAAATTCTCCCAAGGATCCTCTCTACTCAAATTATATAAAGCAGCTAGAGCTTCAGCAGCTTCTAAAGTCTCTAGACCAGCTGCCCAAGAATCTGTCTCAAGATTCTACTGTTGAGAGAGCTTTCCCTTAAGCTGTTGATTCTTCCATATATAAGATGTCTTATAACCACTCTCTCTATACTCATTGCTCTCTTTCAAGTATATAATCTCTTGAATATAATGTGGAATCTGCTCAATTCACTATTAAATCTTTACTTGTGATAGCTCTTTTCAGACTTTCTTTCATTTATGTTCAGTAGTCTTAGATTCTCATGGAGCATTTTTAGCAGTTGTATATTGCTTGAGCCATATTCAGGCAGGCTTAATTATATTTAAATCTGGTGAATTACCAGATCAAAGTAAGTAATTGATCTTGTGTATATTATAGAGCTCTTGTTAATAAAAATAGGTATGTGCTGGAGCTTCATCTTCTAGAACAACAGTATTGAATTGGGATTCAAGACATTTCTTGATAAAAGAGAATAATTTGGCAAGAAGGATCTTCTGAAATGAAAGAAGTATCAGATTAGCTAGAGAATTCAATAGTAAGATGATAGAATCTTAACATCTTCTGATACCTATACCAATCAACTTCTCCCTTGTCTTGTCAAACAAGCTTGCCAGTTTTCATAGTGAATTTGAAAGTTGGCTTTCTTCCACAGTTTCAGTGAATTTGTAGACAGTGAATCTTATTAATAAGCTCTTGTTTCTCTCTTGCCTTTATCTCACAGTTAATATTCAAAATATTTAGTTTCTTTTAAGCTTGACATTTGGCTGCTGCAGTCTCTGGTTCTCAAATATAACAGAGTCTCTTCTTCTCATACATAAAGCAGCTTTAAAATATGAAATCTGAGAACTTCTTTCATTATCAGTATATACAGATAGAATTATAAGCTTCTGAGAATCTTCTCCATACACAAACTACTTCTCTTCTATGCTTAAGAATTACAGAAGTTTCATTAGTTCAGACAATATTTTTCTAGTTCTCTAGAGTCCAGTTCTTCTAGACAAGATAGAATCTGAGTCTTTTTTCTCTTGGAGATTCAGTTAGATCTGGTTTCCAAGTTGGTTTAACAATAACAAAGCCATATTTCTTAAGAATTCACAAAATACTTGAATGAAATATACCAGCTTCAAATATCAGAATCTCAGTAGATTTCTCCCTTTCTGAGCAGCGCTTAGTTACAGAGACAATAATTCCAGCTTCTTTAATGCTTATTTTCTTTGGCTGGTCTAATCTAAAAGCATCTTCCACATAATTGAGAGAAATTTGAGAGTCATTCTTGGGATTAAAGCCATGATCTTTTGCTTGCTTTTGAATGTTATAGAGAGTAGAAGAAGAAATCTGGAGAATATGAGAAACATCTAAGATAGAAATTTTATAAGAGATTAAAGCAAGAGCTTGAATTTGTGTAACAAGCTTATTATGGAGAGAGATTTCTCTGGAAGGCATGGTGGGCAGATTTGATGTTTTGAATTTGAAAAGATTTAAAAAAAGGTGGAAGCCAGGCTGTTTGTTAAATAATAGAAGATACCTGCTACCCCACCAAATTTTGGTAGGGCAGCAGGTAACTGCAATACATTGTAACAAAATAGAGTTTCCGGGAACTTTTGTTCCACACTTTCTGGAAAGCTTATACAGACAATACTGTTTTACAAATACCTACTACCCCACCAAATTTGCTAGGAAACTCAAAGTACCCCTGAAATTAACTAGTTACTCTCATCTGAATCCTGTTCCAAATTCTCTCAAGAATCCTCTCTACTCAAATTATATAGAGCAGCTAGAGCTTCAGCAGCTTTCAAAGTCTCTAGACTAGCTGCCCAAGAATCTGTCTTAAGATTGTGTTATTGAGAGAGCTTTCTCTTAAGCTGTTGACTCTTTTATATATAAGATATCTTATAATTACTCTCTCTATACTCATTATCCCCTTCCAAGCATATAATCTCTTGAATATAATGTGAAATCCACTTAATTTACTGTTGAATCTTTACTTGTGGTAGCTCTTTTCAGACTTTCTTCTATTTATGTTCAGCAGTCTTAGATTCTCATAAGATATCTTTAGCAGTTATATATTACTTAAGCTACATTCAGGCAGGCTCAATCATATTCAAATCTGATGAATTACCAGATCAAAGTAAGCAGTTGATCTTGTGTATATTATAGAGCTCTTGTTAATAAAAATAAATATGTGCTGTAGCTCCATCTTCTAGAATAATTGTATTAGATTGGGATTCAAGACATTTCTTGACAAAAAAAAATAATTTGACAAGAAGAATCTTCTGGAATAAAAGAAGTATTAGATTAGCTAAAGAATTCAATAGTAAGATGATAGAATCTTAACATCTTCTGATATCTATACTAATTAACTTCTCTCTTGTTTTGTTGAACAAGCTTACCAGTTTTTACAGTAAATTTGAAAGTTGGCTTTCTTCCACAGTTTAGATGAATTTATAGATAGTGAATTCTATTAATAAGCTCTCATTTCTCTCTTGTCTTTATCTTATAGTTAATATTTAAGATATCTAGTTTCTTTTAAACTTGATATTTGACTGCTGCAGTCTCTGATTCTCAAATATAACAGAGTCTCTTCTTCTCATACATAAAGTAGCTTCAAAATATGAAATCTGAAAACTTCTTCCATCATCAGTATATACAGGTAAAATTATAAGCTTCTGAGAATCTTCTTTATACATAAACTGCTTCTCTTCTATACTTAAGAACTACAGAAGTTTCATCAGTTCAGATAATATTTTTTTAGTTCTCTAGAGTTTAGTTCTTATAAGCAAGACAGAATCTGAGTCTTTTTTTCTTGCAGATTCAGTTAGATCTCATTTTCAAGTTAGTTTGACAATAACAAAGTCATGTTTTTTAAGAATTTGCAAAATACTTGAATAAGATATATCAGCTTTAAATGTTAAAATCTCAGTAGATTTCTCTCTTTCTAAGCAGCTCTTAGTTACAGAAATAATGATTCCAGCTTTTTTAATACTTATTTTCTTTGGCCAGTCTAATCTAGAAGCATTTTTTATATAACTGAGAGAAATTCAAGAATTATTCTTGAGATCAAAGCCACAGTCTTTTGCTTGCTTTTGAATATTATAGAGAGTAGAAGAAGAAATCTGGAAAGTATAAGAAATATCTAAGATAGAAATTTCATAAGAGATTAAAGCAAGAGCTTGAATTCACATAACAAGCTTATCATAAAGAGAAATTTCTCTGGAAGGCATGGTGAGCAGATTTGATGTTTTAAATTTAGAGAGATTTGGAAAAAGATGAGAGCCAGGCTGTTTGTTGAATAATAGAAGATACCTGCTACCCCACCAAATTTTGGTGAGGCAGCAGGTAACTGCAATACATTGTAACAAAATAGAGTTTCCTGGAACCTTTGTTTCACACCTCTGTATAGACTCTCTGTAATAAGACTCTTTAGTAGAGAAGTTCTTCTGATAGTACTTTGAAGCTGATACTCAAAGCCCTGACTACTGATATTTATTAGTATGTTTAACTGCCTGTTTTTTCTTCTCTGCTAGTTATAAAGTCTTCTTCTTCTTATAAGCAACATATTGTGTCTCTCTTTATCTAGTATATTTGATTTTTTCAGTTTCTTATTACTTCTGAATCTTTTTATGAGCATTCTTTTGTTCAATCTGTTTTTTTTCAATATTTCTAGCAGTCTGCTTTTTTTGAAGCTTCTGTTGAAGTTTTGTCTTTTATATTTTGAGTAATTTTATCAGCTTTTTCAGTCTCTATTTCATTCAGATGCTCACATGTCTTAAGAACCTTTATTGAAGATCAGAACTGTACTTGACTAGAATTATCTTTGTTAAGTAGATCTACAAGCTTGTCTTGCTTGTGATGTTGCTTTTTCATTACTAGAGTTGATCTTAGATGCTGATTCTTATGTTCCAGCAGTTTATTATAAAGAGCAAACTGCTTACTAACTTGAATAATCTATTTAATGCTCTGTAAATTTAGGCTGTGCTGGAGATATATACTCTTAATCTCTTATTGAAGCTGGTATATATTACTAGAAATAGAAGATTTAACTGACAGTGTAGGAGCTTGAGCAGTTTCAAATCAGTATAGTTAATGTTAAGAATCCAGAGAATTAATCTCAGTCTTTGCAAAGTCAGCAAGTATATTTTCAACTGTCAAAGTTTTCTTTCAAGCTAAGTATTGAATAATCTCCAGAAATCTCTTTTTGTTATTCAAATATAGCTCATTTCTTGACATAGTAGTGCTTTCAGCTTATTAAAATATGCCTTGTCTAGTGACTCAAAGATTCCAATATCAAGAGATTGCAAACAGTAAGTTGAATGTAGTGAAAGAATTATAAGAAGAATCTTTTTATAGTTAGTGTATTTAATAAATTTTATATTTATATAGAAGAAATGCCCATCTAGTAGAAGCAGATATCTTTCTTAACCAGCTTGTTTCTTAGTATGCTGATTAAAAATCTGTTTTAATTACTTCAGTTCATATTTATTATTGCTTTAACCATTTGTTAAAGCTGCAAAGTAGACCCATTCACTTTCATTATAATTATCTAGTTATGTATTCTGAAGATCTTGTAATTTACTTTAATAAATAAGAGCTGGAGATAGTGCAATTTCTTCAGCAGAGACTGAGTAAAGTAATAAGAAAAATTCCTGATTACTATTCTGGATAATGATATTCTTTCTAGCTTGTAGAGCTTTAATAAAGACTAATTACTTTAAGATATAGCAAAAGTCTAGAAGAAATTCTTTTTCATTAAAGTTATAGATATTTGAAAGCTTAAGATTATATTAATTAATTTTCTGCTTCAACTACTCTATAAGTAATAGTTAAATAGTTAGCCAGCATCAATAACTGCAATTGTAAGTAATTAAATAAATTATTAAATTACAAGTATATAGAAGTGCTTAAAGTACTGATAGTTATCTGCTATCTGTCTATTTTAATTAATTACTTTAAGATAAATACATTTGATCTTGTTATTATGCTGCTTATAAAATTAATGAACTTAGTTAATTATAACATTCTCTTCTGTCATCTCTTGTATAATATTTTGTAGAATCTGAGATGTAATAGCAAGATCATAACTAGAGAGCTTGTTTATATAATTCAGAAGCTTTGTCTTCTGTATATTAGAAAGCTTTTTCTTATATCAGAAGACTGCTTTATTCTGAGCAAGTTGCAAGTTTTTATACTGTTAGCACAGAGTCTCTTGATTAACTAAGTACTTTCTTACAGTTACAGTATAATTTAAGATCTCTTGTAATTCAAGATCTTTAATTACAAGTCTAATTAAGGCATTGTTGATCATATTGTTGCATATTGAATGTTGAACATTGGAGAAATTTTAGTGGTAGAAGATTTGGCTTGTTTAGTGGTGTGGCTTGCTTAGTGGTGAACTATCTTAACTAAGGTGGCTCACCATTCAACAAGCCAAAATTCCTTCCAATGCTCCACACTACAAATTTATTAATGATCTCAACAACAAATTATTATTATTAAACTAGGTATTAAATATTAAATAAGTGTGTTCTTTAAAGCATGAAAATTAGTGTGGCTATGAAAATAAATATGTAAATGACCTGTTATTGCAGCTAGAGAGTAAATAGAAAAGATTGTAAAAGAATGTCAGCAGTAGATTTCTTATATAAAAAGTCTAAAAACTTGTTAGAGAGACTTGTAGAGCTCTTACTACTGCTTTAGAAAGATTATATAGACTTATCATGATAAGATTCTTTTGTAGAAAGGCCCTGCTAATAATACTTTAAAGCTGGTGCTTGAAGCTCTGACTACTAATATTTACTAGTATATTCAACAGTTTTTCTCTTCTTCTCTGCTTGTTGTAAAGTTTTTTTCTTCTTACAGACAATATACTAAACCTCTTATTATATAGTATATTAAAGCTTTTCAGTCTCTTATTACTTATAAGTCTTTATACAGAGAGTCTCTTATTTAATTTATTTTTCTTTAGTCTCTCTAGTTATTTGCTCTCTTTAGAGCTTCTGTTGAAGCTTTATCTTTTGTATTTAAGTAATTTTGTAAGCTTTCTTAGTCTTTATTTTATTTTAATATTTCTGAGTCTGCAGAACTTTTGTAGAACACCAGAACTAGATCTGACTTGAATTATTATAATTAAGTAGATCTAGAGACTTATTTTACTTGTAGTACTGTTTCTCTGTCATAATAGTTATTTTTAAAGTCTAATTTTTATGCTTTAGCAGTTTATTTTATATTGCAAATTACTTACTAACTTTAATAATTTGTTCAATACTCTGTAAATTTAAGCTGTACTAAAGATAAATACTCTTAATCTCTTGATAAAGCTTCTGAATATTTATAGAGATAAAAGACTTAACTAGTAATACAGAGTCTTATTAATTAGCAGTTTCATATTAGCTTAGTTAATACTGGAGATTCAGAAGATAAATTCTAGTCTTTGCAAAGCCAGTATGTATATTATTATCTATCAAAGTCTTCTTCCATACTGTATTGAATAATCTTCAGAAATCTCTTTTTATTATTTGAATATAGTTCAGTCCACAGTATAGTAGAGATTCCAGCTTGCTGGAATATATCTTGCTTAGTGATTCAAAAACATTAATATCAAGAGATTACAAATAATAAATAGAGTGTGATAGAAGAATTAATAGCAGAATTCTTTCACAGTTTGTATATTCAATAAATTTCATATTTATATGAGAAGAATGCTTATTTAGTAGAAGCAGATATCTTGCTCTATCTGCTTTTGTCTTTATATATAGATTAAAAATCTATTGCAATCACTCCAGACTATATTTATTATTGCTTCAGCTGTTCACTAAAACTGTAAAATAGATATATTTACTTTTGTTAAAATTATTCAGTCATGTATTCTGAAGATCTCTGGATTCACTTTAATAAATAAGAGCTGAAGATAATATAATTCTATCTGCAAAGACTGAATAAAATAATAAGAGAAATTTCTGATTTTTATTCTGAGCTACAATACTTTTATCAGCTTGTAGAACTTTAATAAAGATAAGATACTTTAAGATATGACAGAAGTTTGGAAGAAATTCTTTTTTATTAAAAATATATATAATTTTCAGTATAATATTATACTGACTGATTTTCTTGCTTAATTAAATACAGCAGTGCAAGCACTTAACAAGTTAGTTAAATTTAATAACTATACTTGCAAAAAAGTAAAAAAAGCATTGAAGTATAAGACTATAGAAGTACTAAAAGTAGTAATTATCTGCTATCTATCTATTCTTGTCAAGTGACTTGAGATAAACAGATTTAATCTTGTTCTTGTGATGCTCACAAAACTATATTACTTAGTTAATTTCTATATTCCCTTCTGTCATCTCTTGCATGATATTTTAAAAAATTTAAGATGTAAAAGCAAGACTGTAATTACAAAGCTTGTTTATATACTCTAGAAGCTTATTCTTTTGTATATTAGTAAGCTTTTTCTTATATCTAGAGATTACTTTATAATGATTAACTTGTAAATCTTGATACCACCAGTGCAGAGTCTCTTGACTAACTGAATATTTTTTTGCAGTCACACTGTAATTTAGAGTTTCTTGTGATTCAAGATCTTTAATTGCAAGCTTAATTGCTTTGTTGTTGACCATGCTATTGCATATTAAAGTTGAGTGTTGAAGAAATTTGTTGGTGTGAAAATTTGGCTCATTGAGTGGTTTGGCTTGTTGAGTGGTGAGCCACCTTAACTAAGTTGACTGTCTACTTGGTTGGTTTAGCTATGGGTTTATCACCGCGGCCAGCATGCAGGCTGCTGATGCCTCTCTTTTTTGCTATAAGGTCCTCGCACGCCGCTTTGGCTGATCTGAGCCTTGACAGACTTAATAAATAGCAGTCATTTTGTTCACGCCTCCTTAGCTCGACTAGTTATTTAACCAACAACCCTGGTGAGCTTTCCTAGGCACAATGGTGTTATGTATTCAATGATATATGAACAAAAAGGAAGATATAGGGCATATGTATGTATGAACTGTACATGCTACATATCTAAGCACGTCAGCTGGCTGGGAGAGTCCATAGCAATGAGCAAAAATATAGGGAATGCAAGTACTGAGTATATCTCGCCGACTTGTGGCCAATGGCTGAAGCACCACAGACATTGATAAAGGCGATCGATGTCAATTCCCTCGCAAAACCGCTATTTTTGGGCATTATTGGGACGATATCCTCTCTCGCTCATCTGACTCTCCATGTATATGACCACGGAACGGGGCCGGATCGACTCCCTGCTAACCACATGCTTCCCATCTTTCCACATGGTTATACAATCAGTCTTAGATGTGCTCACTATGAACTCCGGCGTGCGTGATTGCGTTAGATTTCATGAGGATGCAGCGGTCGGAAAGATAGCCCCCGCGATACATTCGCTGTATATTTCAAAGGTCCTGTTGGAATGACATGAGCCACATTAGTTATTGGTTCCGGTGTCATTCACTGATGCAATAGCACTCCGCAGACGATCTCTCAGTCTTGTAACACGCTCCATATTAACACCCCCCCCTCTCTTCTTCTTGAGGTTGATGGTCTCGGTCGCTAGGCCACCTCCTACTTGTCATGCAAGAAACCGCCTCGTGTTCTCATTTTCAGCTGCCATGGTTTATATTATCAAGGAAGTGGAATCTTTGTCGCTGGGAGTTAAATCGTCTGCGGAAGTAGGTATCATGCTCGCGAAGGAAAGACACAGCGACTATCATTATCAGTTGTCTTCCAGCCCGCTGATGTTCTCGGTTGGAAATTCCGCTGAAAAGCATTGTGAAAGATGACCTGGCCGATTGTCTCTTCTCACCTCTTGCCCCTCTGCTCTTTTGACAACCTCGAGTGGAGAGAAATTAACTAGCCGTGCGACCACATTTTTCACTGTATGTGGTACAACGCGCGCGAATACGATCCAAACTGTGTTTGCTTTTTCCGTTCTTCGACAACTTGTTACTCCGTACCTAGTTGATTGTTCGGAAACATCAACATGGGGAGTGCCCCTCGGATTCCCTGCGGGTACTCGATCATACCCGTGTGGGATATCGTTGCGTCTCAGTTGTTGGAACTTCCAAAGGCTGCGTATTTCGTACATTATACAGAGTCTTTCCCTCGCGTTGGGCTCTGGGGACAACGCCTTTGTTGAGAACAAGCTTCAGCTCTCTTTTGCGTAGCCGGGTAAGGAGGCTGCATCGATGAGGACGGGAAAGATGATCACCCCAATCATACTCATTATTTTACTCATCAGCATCCCTTGTAAGTCAGAGCCACAGAATCTTTGCTACTTTTTCACACTGCTGTCTGCTTTGACATCTAAGAATGATTCTTTCTCCAACTCACATGTTGCAGGATTAAACGCGTGGCGGTCCCAAGACTTCATTTTGCTGATAGTCCCTTTGATTCCCTCCACATCTTAATACAGATATGTGGTGCTATCCCGCGCGTTGAGTCGGCCAATTATAGCGTTGATGCTTCCTTTGGAGTCTTTGGTGAGAACTGCAAGATTAGTGTAGGCTGTTGTGTGTGGCCTCTGGGATCATAACAACATGAAACTGTCTTTGTATACATATTAGGGAGAGTGAGGAAGTAGATCCAGCATTAACTGGATGATAATGGAAGGATTGCAGTCCATAGATGGCTGGATAACGCCTTGTTTGTATGGGACAGAGAATACTGCAAAACCTCACATTCTCAACTATAACTTCCCTTAAGATCTCTTGCATGTTTAACTATGCATGCACCACACAGACATGTTGCAGGTGTCCCACAAAAAAAAAAAAAAAAATGGAAAAGCTTTCTTGGACATTGGATGATATATACATCCATGAACTATATGCCATATCGTAGCAGGCGCACAAGACTTTGTACCCTTGAATTATAATCAGCACTCAAGGCTCTTCAGTAAATAAACGAGCAGCTAGAGCTCAAAGATGATACGGGCATAGGAATTCAGCCGACCGAGCTTGCTGAAAAAGCTTCACATCTTCCAATCATTGGAAGAGCAACGGACCACTCCTAGGAACTCCAAACCACAAAGCCTATTGCTTGCCCAACCCGGTCATGGATTCGTTTTTGGGGTGGGGGAGGATGTGATTAATGGCCGAAGAGTCCCGGAGAGTCGGTTCCCAGATTTTTGGGGGCTGGTTAACCATCCCCAGGTCGCTACCACGAGCTTTGAAGTGCAGACTTGACGCATCCAAACCTTGGACGATAAGTACACTTGGAGGGTTAAACTAAGGATCGGAGAATGAAGTGTTGGTCTGATGGCGGAAGTCATTCCCTTAATCTCATTCGCATTTTGACAATCTGCCTCACGCTAACAATTAGCGGTAGCAATATGTATCTTCACGTCAATGTCAAACCCGAGATAAAGTTTGATTTTTTGACATAGGTTTTGAAGACAGAGGAAAAGGCAAGGAAGATATGGTGTTGGCTTCTGGAATTATACCACCACTAGGCCTCATGTGATTTAGAGCCTAGGCACTGGGGTGAGCTCTATCCTGTCGCTCGTAGAGAGTGAATTCTCATAAAAGGGATGGTTACGGATCTGGTGATGAGGTGCCTAGGGACCCGCGAACATGATGAACAGGGAGGATTCAAAATTCGTCCTTCGCACCCAAGTAATTTCGACAAGGTTAGCTCAGGAGGGGAGGCTGTCGCATCCACTTATGCCAGATTGATTGGAGACAAGGGGAATTTAAGACGGAATGCCGCTGTAGGCCGGGAATGTATCTGATTGGATCATCTTTGTTGGTAATGATGGACTCTTGACTGTCGGACGGAGGGTCCCAAATATATCAGCCTTGCTGTTATACGATGACACTGAGAGAGTTGTCGCTTATAACAATTGTACTCTTGTCCTACCAATGTCTAACGGTAATCTTTAAGAGACGATAGCATCGAGCATGGCATACACGTTCACTGTCGCACGCATGTCCATTATAGGCTATATCGTCGGCACCTTGGTCTATCGTTTATATTTTTCTCCATTGTCGAAAATCCCTGGGTCAAAGCTCGCTGCGGCAACGTTATGGTACGAGTTCTATTATGACGTTATTTTAGGCGGCCAGTATACGTTCAAAATAAAGGAGCTGCATCAAAAGCATGGTTCGAACCACGTTCATTGGGGACACGGCATGTTGAGCTTCAACGTCCGGACTGATAGCAGTGTAGGGCCTATAATTCGAATTAGTCCGTACGAGGTGCATATCGATGACCCGGAATATTATCATACGCTGTATTCACACCGTTGTCCGCGGGATAAATGTGATTATCATGTTAAACCATTCAACCTCCCAAAATCGTCGTTCGGAACTGAAAGCGCTCGAGTGCACCGTCTCCGACGAGGTGCGATGAACCCTTTTTTTTCACGAGGATTTGTGTTGAAACATGAATCACTGGTCCAGGACTTGGTTCAAAAGTTTTGTCGTCGAGTTGAAGAGTTTGCGCGAGACGAGGAAATTGTCCCTCTCTCTCTTGGATTCACATGCCTCACCAGACGTGATCACATCATTTGTAGTGAACCGGTCGTATCGATATTTAGAGGCATCGGATTGGCATCCACATTGGGGACAGACATTGAAAGACGCCTCAAAGCTTTCAGTGATAACGAAACAGGTGGCGTGGACACTGCCAATCCCCAAATGCTTTCCCCAGTCGTGGGCCAAAGCACTGAATCCAGGGCTCGCCCTCTTCTTTGACCTGACCCAACGGACACATCGGCGCATTTTGGAAGTTCTGAAGGAACGAGAGCAGGAGAGGGGGGTGAGTGGCCCCGGAAGAAGGAAGACGCTGATAGATCAACTGCTGGACTCTAAATTGCCACAAGAAGAAAAGTCCATGGAGAGGCTTGCCGCGGAGATTCGCTCAGCAATTGGGGCGGGGACGGAGACAACGTCCAACAGCATGACGTATCACCTCCTCGCCAACCCGCAAAAGCTTCAGAGACTTAGGGATGAGCTGCTCAAGTTGGGTCCCGGACGGGAGGCGAATCTTTGCGAGCTCGAGCAACTGCCGTACCTGGTACGTAGTGCATGATGCGGGAATCCCAAGAAGGGTTTCTCTGCTGACAATTGTGAGTAGTCATCGTGTATCCTTGAAGGGTTGCGGTGCGTATCTGCAGCGCGGCGAGGGAAGCATCTGAGGAGAAGATGTGCTGAGATTACCTCCCCAGGTTATCCTACGGCATTAGTACCCGCCTCCAACGCAAATCAGACCACACAGAGATCGTATACAAAGCATATAGAATTTCTCCCGGGGTATGTATTTGGTCATGTGGAGACTGAGGCAATTTGCTGCAGCACTGACAATGTGGCCACGAGCTAGACTGCTGTTGGGATGACTTCGGTCCTCCAACATCACGATGAAGCCATATTCCCAGATTCCTATGGCTACGTCCCAGAACGTTGGCTAAATACGGAGGAACGGAAACGGTTGGAGAAGTATCTGGTGACGTTTAGCAAGGGACCACAGAGGTGCATCGGGATGAAGTGAGTTTTCTTTTCCCTCCAAGCAGGATCCGGGACCCCCTCCCTCTTGAGGATGAGCAGAGGTGTTCACGGATGATGGCTGTGGTGATTAGTCTTGCCCTGGCAGAGCTCTACCTCACGGTTACAAACATATTCCGGAAATTCAATCTTGAATTGCACAACACAGGCCGCAACGACATCGATATCCGATATGATTTATTCATTCCACGACCCAAAAACTTAAAGACAGCTGGTGTACAGGTGCGAGTCAAAGGCCTTGACAATTAATCGCACGATCGGGTTGGTATTCGAGAAACGATTGAGGAGCTCCTCCCTATTAAGAGTGCGTGTCTGTAATCCGAGCTTCGAAGCCATTAGTTTTGCATGGTCATAGCATAGGTAGATATCGGCTTTCTTATCGCTAAAGGCCTTTCCTAACTGCTCCAGGATGCGAATAAGCTCCAATTCCGAACGTATCTTAGTACTCTTAATCTTTTGTAGGAGCTGCTGTTCAAAACCACAGCAACAGCAAGTACCACAGCGTACTGCCATGACAGACTCTTCGCGCTCATGCCGAGGCATCTCTTCATCGCTTTCGGGAGGAATAACAGACTCGTCACCATCGCCTAGACCTTGGAGGGTTTGGTGTGCCGACATGGCTGCAATTCTCTCACTGCGGCGTTTCGGAGCTTCTGATTACAGACACGCACTCTTAATAGAGAGGAGCTCCTCAATCGTTTGGCTCACATCTATAAGAATCGCCGAAATATTGGCTCAGTCGAGACTGATGACAGTACTTACCTTTGGTTCCGTTTGGCAAATTGACCAGCTAGAGCTGAAGATGCCCAGAGGTCTCCCATTCTTTCTGAAGATTAACAGTAGTAAACTTGTGTGAGGGAACAACTTTAGGCCTGCCTGAGAATTGCTTGCTGCGATAACTAACCAACTAAACTTAAGTTAATTAGTTGACTAGTTAATTATTAACAAACTAACTGGTAAGTACAGAGTAGTTAACTAGACAACCCTACTGAAGTAGTTAAATGAGCAGTTTTTTTTTTGAGAATCATCTTGTGATGAACAAGGAACCACCACAATCTGGTGCTAGTCAAGGTCAGCCATATTGGAAATTGTTGCCTCAGACATAACTAACTAGTTAGTTAAATACCGCAGCTGGCTTTTGCACCAAGAACTAGTTAACTAGTTAACCATTCCAGTCAGAGTGCTTTGTGTACTGTGGAAACATGTTTGCTCCTTTGTTCCATAGCTCCCCGCTGGGATCAGCTGCTATTGTTTCAATGTTTTGCCCTTATATATTTCCCAAACCACTCGTCCGGTTTAGAACTTTCCGTCAGCCGTGATATCAGGCAGGTGGCAAGTTTAGTTGATGCGAGCAGCCGGCCCTGTTCAATAGCAATTTTACCATGCTAGACTCATGGCATCAGTTCTTATTCTCTATTCAGTCTATGACGGTGATCTTGTTGCCCATCCTCTCTTTCCTCTCCGGTTGGGGGATTCTTACTCTGCCTTCCAGCTATGCGAAGCGACTTCTTCCTCCAGTTCTTCTGGGCGCCTTTATCGCATTCCGTCGCCAGAATGAATTCTCTTCCAATCGTCTCCTGAACGAACTGTTTGGTAGGCTGATGATGCTGTGGATGATGTATATGCCCTTCCTTGTGTACATCAAGGGATACGATGGCGAGTCCCACCGATTATTTGGCAGCCAGCATAAGCATGCTCCTTCTTCGTGGCCCAGCCTCGCAAAATCCTCAGCCAGACGAGCACTATGGCGAAGCGCAATCAGCGTGCTAAGCGATATCTTCTTCACTTTCAATGCAAGAAAAGCGTGTGCTCTCAAGATGCTATTCAATGGGCGAGGAATAAACACCGCATGGCAGGTCCACGCATTGCCGTCTCCTCGATCATCGATGACGCTCTCGCCAGCTTCCCACATCAATCCGTGCCTGCCTTTGACAGTGCGCTGGCAGTTTGTTTCCCGTCGCTCGATAGCGCTTTTGACAAAACTTATCATATGGCTCATTTGGTCCCACTATTCGCCTTACCTAGTTCTTGCGCGAGAATCCGACTATCTCCCTGAGAAGCAAATACTTTTGCGACGATTGCTGTTGAACACATCTTCAAGATTATTGGGAACACCAAATCCGTACTTCCTCCACCCAGTCACCATCCATGAGATCAAGATGCGGATATGGATCGTGGCTGACAACAATATCCAGAGTATTGTTATCCTGAAGGGGTTTCATGACATTTGCGCCCTGTTATTTGTTGGGCTAGGTTTTGATGTGCCTGATGAGTGGCCGCCGTTTTTCGGTAGCATTCAGCACGCGTTCACAGTGCGCGGTTACTGGTCAGGGTTCTGGCATTTACTAATGCACCGAGGCCTAAGTGCGTATGCTACCCTGGTCCTTCACCACGTCCTTCGCATCCGCAGACGGTCACTGTTCTCGCGGCTTGTTCACGGGCTCCTTGTATTTCTCATATCAGGCTTCTGCCACGCGGTCATGCACAACTACACGATGCCGGGTTGCAACAAGATGCCAGTAATCATTTTCTACGCCCTGCAGCCAGTTGCACTGACGATTGAGGCCGTCGTGCAGATCATCTGGAAAACATGGAGATCAAGGCATCTTGACAGTTTCCCCAAAACTAAGTCCGAGGGTGTTATGCTCCACTCTATTGGATACTTGTGGGTGATTTTATGGTTCACATGGTCGGAGCCGAAGTCCATTCTTGCGGTCAATTTTGAGCTCTCTCAGCGCTGGGCGCGGGGGAACTAGTGAGGGTTACCGGTGTCTACATCGACGGCAAGGAAAAATAGGAAAAAAAAAAATAAAATAAAATAAAAAGTAATTGCTTATTCCAAAAAATCAATCACATTTATAAATTTCACTGTACTCGTAGGATTCAGCCGTGAATGGGTAGCACACAATGCTTGAATCTCAGAGGCCGGCTCTCTCAATCAGTCTACACGCAAGCTTCACTTGCGATGAGACTTCGTCAAGCTGCGACGGAAGGTTACTACCGTGGCATTTTAGGAGAAACAGGGGACTGCAACTTACATGGTCTTTAGCAAATATATTAAAGTGGTGACCGGGGATGTCCATGACTGTAGATATCATATCATATCCGTACTCCTCCCATCCCAATCTGGGCATCTCTCGACACACATCTACCCTTGAGACTGCATTACAACCCTCGGGACTGGAGATAGGAACATACTCATTGCACCGTAGGAGAACGGTTGGGGGTACGGTGGGCAAGATGTCGCGCCACGGCACATCCATCTCCGTTACGGAGCAGGAATTCCCGTATTGCGCAGGCATCCGGGACGACAGAGTTGCTTCCATAGCTTTTCGGCGGCCGATGAGATCCTGGTCACCACATCCTTTCCAGACCGGGGGAATCCAGTCGGAAGACATCGCGACCGCCATTTTCATGCAGTTCGAGACCAACTCACGGGTTTCAGGCCTTGTATGCTCGTCATATTCAACTTGATGAGGAGCAACGTTTGCACTTTGGATAGCCGCATTCAGCGGGTTTATGCTGTCTATCATCACGATTCCAAGAACCTGGATATCGGAAGTTCTTGCGAGTATGCTGGCAACCTCCAACGAAATCATGCCGCCAAGCGACCAGCCTGGATTTGGGAAGGGCGGGGTGTCAGTGCATTCAGGGGACGAAGGCAGAGAGAGCAGATCCGTTCACCTCCAAGAATAATAGGCCCCGATGGTAGCACGGACCGTATCAAGCTCGCATATATTCGGCCCATCTCAGGCAGTCCACCCTCCCATGGTTCACCAGAATAAAATCTCGGGTTCTGTATCGCATATACCGTACGGTCTAAAGATTCAAGGTAGAAATAAGACACCGTCGTGCCTCCCCCATCGTGGATGAGCACAAGTGGCGTAGCCGACTCGAAGCCATCCGGCGCTGACTGAACTAGAAAAAGCGAGTCATCCATCATCTACAGCGAGCGCGGCCACAACCGGAAACCACCAAGTGACGTCGCGACCGGTGATGCAGTTGATGTGAGCCAGGGATTGTAACATGCACAATGCGGCGAGAACAAGCAACGAATCGTGAGCTGCTCAACCTTGGGCTCGCAACAAGGTGGGAGAGAAATGTTAAACAAGTAGTTAAGCTGGGATGCACGTCCTGTCTCTCACTGCCTCATCCCACTGAGTTCCAGCCCCACGTCCAAGCTTAGTTAACTTTACTAACTAACTAGTTAGTTAGTTAACTATGGGGGTTTCGAACTCTATGTCGCCTTTTCTCAACAGCAGGCCTTTAGTGAAAATGACCAAGTTTGTGTACATCTAGGAGTGCAGAACAGGCATGAGTGGGATTAGTGACCTCCTTCACTGGGATTCTAGGCGTACATTACTTAAGCATTGTATTCCGTAAACATGCTACTATAATCATGATCGTCCATTTTTTGTGATGAGAGCTCAAAAATCCTTTGATTGCAACAGGCTCTGTCTTAGTCCTGCTTTGCCTTTTGGACCCTCAGCACACAGGCTTTCAACAGCCCATGATAACCAGCTGAAGAGGGTGTGATTCTCACTTTGGTAGTTATGGATATCTCCACTAAAGGTGGAGTGTCGAAGGCGCACACCATTGAGCGTTTAAACCACCAATGGACATCATTCAGAATTGGACAGAGACGGGAGGGGGGGCCGTTGGATTGGGTTAGAGTTAAGTATCCAGTCGCTTGGCCAGGCACAGAGGTAGATTTCAATGCGAAGATCCTTGATGTGCTAGCTAGCACTATCTTGGGAACTAGGTCAGAGATTAAAAAAGACTCGGGATTCCGAGCAGATCTTATTTTTGCCGCTTAAATTTCCTGATATGCTTCGGAGGCGTATAGCTTCAAGTTATCCTTCAACTATCGAATTTACCATGTTACTGATTGATGTTCCGATATTTCCGCGTACCGGCCGGAATAGTCTACGTTTACTATCATGTAAATATTTACGTGAAGGACCACTTGGGGATGGAAGAGAGAAAGAAGAGCTGGTGAAAGCGGTTCTCAAGCAAGGCTTTGGAGAATAGTTCTTATCAGTAGTTATTGCAGTGTAAGGCTAACAAGATATCAGAACGTTCCTCTCATCAAGTTCACAGACCGGCACACACATATGCACTGAATCGGGATTTAAGAAAACATCGTAAGTAATCCATCAGCCAGATTGTATATCTGTGTTGAGGATGCTAAATCACTTTTGCCTCGATACTGTATCCGAGGCCATATCTTGCTTTCCAGGTTTTTGTCCATACACAACGTATCTTTGATTCCCTATCAGTACGCAAAACAACAAACGTCAAAAGGAAGCTTCTCCACATACATTGGCCAGTACGCGTGAATTCGAGGATTCTGAATGTCTTTGCGACACTGTGCAAGCAACACTTCCAAATCCGCCGTCGACATCCCCAGTACTTGGACACATAATCGGGCGGAAGCCGCATACAAGCCATCCAAAGTGTTGACCATGTTCCACTCCCCGAGCTCTTTGTAGTGCGGATCCTTTGGCCATCGATTCTGTGGCCACTTGTATGGAATCTCAACCACGTTCACAAAACCTGTTCGTTTCATCATGTCTTTATATTCAGCGGCAAGCCCACCGTCTCTTCCCAGTTTCTTTAGGGCTTTCACAAGATAGTTGTTCAGCTGCTCATAAGGCGTATTCTCCATGGTACCGTCATCGGACCTGACTGGGAATGCGAAGTCCTGCATCTCAAACCAACCACCAGGTTCAAGGGCGTCATACGCTTGCTGGAAGAGCTGGGGGAAAGAGGGTGAGGAGCCAGCAAGCATTCTTCCGTGAATAAAGTCAAACTTGTGAGGAAATGTCCAAGGAAGGTCAAAATCGTCGATTTCGAACTTGCAGTTAGGCGGGACAAACGAAGGTTGAATGGCGCTGAGGTCCGTACCTAGGACTTTAGCGGTGGGATACTCATCTGCAAAATCGATGGCCCATAACCCGGTACCGGTTCCCAAGTCCAATACACTGTGGACCTGACGTGGTACCGGCGAGTGAAAGAGCTTGCGGTTCATCGTCTTGAGGAATATTTCGTGCTGCATGTCCAGCCTCTCCTGTTCACTTTCATCCTCCGGCATAAAGTAACTGCCGTCTCTGTACTTGTGATACCCACGTCCGTTTTCCATAACACTCTGATAGAAGCTGGACCGCAGACTCTCTGAATACACTGAAGAACCAGCATCTCCCAATGCAGAGTCGGAATCGGAAAGGTCTGGCTCAATATGGCCCTCATTCTCATGTGCTGCCATGACAAGCGTTGCTTAACGACAACGGGGAAAAGAACTCGAGCACCCAGTTCCTTTGCTTTGCGGAGCTTTTGATACCAATGAGCCTTTTCTGCGGTGTAGACAACAGAAAAATGAGCATGGAGAATAGCGAGGTGTTTCGGAACTCAACGACAAGGTCCTGATTTAAAGCATTTTCAATTCAAGGGATCATTGAACCTTGAACCAATCAAAACGTCCACAAGCATGGGTTATCAGGACCGGCAAGGCTAAAGGTTTGCTGGCAGCATCCTTTCCGAAATGGCGACATGACCGTTGTCTTCCCGTCCAAGCGGGATGCGACCTTATGCATACTAGCGCATGCGGAACGGCACGACCATAAGTTATATGCAGCCCGCCATGCCAAGTCAGACTCCGGATAGGTGTTCAAAGAAACTTGCTGTCTATCGTCGTCTAGAACGCACGCTACGAGGCGCCGGTGGGGTAACATAGGTCGGTACGGGATTGATTTAACAGACTCGAACCCCCTGCCCGTACCCGTCGCATCAGAGCCCTGTCTTTCACAACCTCCCTTGCAACATATGGTCTGCCTTCCTTTTTCCTCCCAAAATGTCTTACGTGGTCGACACTCTTACATACGGCGGCCTGATCTGGGCTGCTTACCTCGCTGGCTTGGTGATATATCGCCTGTATTTTCATCCTCTCGCAAAATTCCCGGGGCCTAGGTACGCTGCCCTGAGCCGATGGCATGAAATATATTACGACGTCTACCTGGGAGGGAAATTTATATTCCATATTGAAGATTTACACAAGAAATATGGTGTGTTGATACATTTTGTACCAGACTAGTCGGCAGGCTGATACAAACTGACAATATAGGTCCGATTGTTCGAATTGCACCTGATGAGCTACACGTTATCGACTCGGACTTCTTTGATACTATCTTTACCAAAGCTGGAAGAGTGGACAAATATGAATGGTTATCAAACCGCTTTGGCAATGCTACTTCCACCCTGACAACAGCCCCAGATAGCCTCCATAAGCTGAGGCGAGGAGCCCTGAACCCTTTCTTCTCGAGAAAGCGGATTATTAATCTTCAAGAGCTTGTTCGAGAAAAGATCGCGATTCTGGTCGGCAAAATCAATGAATACAAAGAATCAGGGGCTCCAATGACTATCAGCAGAGGATACATGGCTCTCGTCGAAGATATTATCATGCAGTACTGCTTTGCTCGGGATTACAATCACCTTGAAACTCCTAATTGGAAACCTATCTTCCACGATCCTTTAATGGCCATCAGCATGAGCGGGAATGCGGCCCTTCACTTTCCCTTGGTGCCCAAGATAATGGAATGCCTACCTCAGTCTTGGGTCGTTAAGCTCAACCCCTTATACGTTCCCATTTTCCGGCTTCAAAATGTCAGTCACTCATACTGTCCAGTCCTCTGAACCTGTTGACTTCAGCTCACTGCCGAGTGACAGGACTTGAGCCAGCAAATCCGTAATTTGAAAGAAGATAAAGTCGATGCCAAAGATGGCCGCGCGACCGTGTTTTTTGAGTTAATCCATGGTGACCTCCCCGCAAGCGAAAAGGAAGATCGCCGTGTGCGAGACGAAGCACAGCTAATTATAGGCGCTGGCCTTGTCACGACCTCATGGGCGCTTAGCGTCGGCACTTTTTTCCTTCTGAGCAATCCTGAAGCGCTTGCCAAGTTGCGACGCGAGCTGGGAGAGGCTATCAGGGAGGACAAATACTCTAAAACACTCCTTCAGTGGGCTGAACTAGAAAAGTTGCCTTATTTGACTGCTGTGATAAAGGAATCTATTCGACTCTCCTATGGCACATCGTCACGTAACGTCCGCCTCTCCCCCAACTCCCTAAAATACAAGGATTGGGTGATCCCAGCACGCACACCTGTGTCCATGACAATTCCCTTCCTGAACCATGACGAGGAGATATTTCCTGACTCCCACGCCTTCAACCCTGAGAGGTGGCTGAATTCGCCGAAAACAAGCAACGGATCAAACCTGGATCGATATTTTGTCGGATTCGGGAAAGGAACAAGATCGTGTTTAGGCAGCAAGTGAGTTTGGACCTCGACTTTTACCCCCTAAAGAGTAATATACACTTGCAATCATTGGCTAGGGCTAATTGTGTCCTGGAGTTTGGCGTGGTGCGAACTCTACCTGATCTTTGCCACCATATTCCGATATTTCGACTTCGAGCTCTACAAAACCGATAAGAGCGATGTAGAATTAGTGCACGATTATTTTTTACCGTTCCCGAAGCTCGACACAAAAGGCATTAGGGTTCGCGTGAAGCAGTAAAAACAGCTGGCAGCCGCTTGATTGGCTCCCAATTGATATGGAAGTTGTTCAAGTACTCGCGGTCTTACGTCGGCGGTTCGATGGAAGCATAGGGGTTATTGCAGCTCCGCCTGCATATAAATATAAATCTCCAATACTCCATACATCCTCGTGCATGCATAAGCCGTCTCTCTTTGCTCCTTCAGAGGACGTTGTTGTAACTTGGCGAAAAAGGATCTCCTAACTTAGAGCCGGCCCCACAACCCGGCGCCATACAAGCTCTATTGACCTGTGGAGTCCGGGATTCATGAATGGTGCTTGTGGGTAGCAGAGCGCTTGATCACAAACCAGAGCAGTGATTCTCTCGTATCTCTCTGGTCCCTTGCGACTGAGTGAGCTATTTTCGTGACCATCTCTGAAAGGTAGACAATATAGTCAGCCCTTCCAATAATACATCCACATATAATCAGACCCGGCGCTATTCAAAACCATAAACCTGTTTGTAAAGTGGGGCACCAAAGTCAGAATCGCAAAAGGATAGTCTCTGTTTGCTCTCAGTCATCTTCTCAAGGGTGTCGTTCCAGTTCCTGAAATATATGCCTGGCGCTCTGGTAACGGTTGCTCAAGACATTGTGATCTGGGACCGGCTATTCATGATTGACCACTCTGAATGTACAGAGCTGCCTGTCAATCACCTGCCTTAGTTGATTTTAGATCCGCTAGTTTCGAACTTCGCTTGCAAATTATTATTGGTTCAAGTGGCCATGGAGACTCACATTAACGCTGGATGTTGACCAACAAGCTCGGTTGGGCTAAATGTCGGAGTTCGACCAGCATCACAAATACAATGGGCAAGGGCGGAGTGAGGCCCTGCCATTTGTAGCGGCCTTCTGGGATTCTACGGGGCGCTCCTGACATTATGCGATCTATTACTGGGGAATGCCGATGGGATGTAGGTTGTTCTTGTCTGACCGGACCCTACCTTTCTCGGCGTCTAGAGTACAAGATATTCCGCAAGTTTAGCGCTTTCCTTTGCTCATGCGGGGGGCTTCCCATCTGAAGCACCGAGCTCAAAGCACGAGCATTATAAATAAGGTAGGTGTTGCCGTCCAATGTAGAGTTGCTTGAGGTTCTTCTATACCCGCTTCTATCCCCAAAGCCTTGCAATCACAAAATTATTACCTCTCTGAAAGTTCCTCCTTAAAAAGGCTGATACTGCGAACCTGAATAGCTATTGAGCTCGTCTCTCTTTCTATTACGCGAACAAGTATGTTCTTCCCGCAGAAAAGTGCTGTCGGCAAGGCTGTCGAAGGACAAGCCTGGAGAAAATTCACGAACCCAACCGCTGGGCGCGGGAAAACAGCCTTCCCGAAGGGTCAAGCGGAGCAAGAACGGCTCGGGGTCAGATGGGACTATGATGGGGAGGTTACAAAAGGAGATGAGGTTTACCATAAGTTCCAGATGCAACCGAACGCTGGAAAAGTCCCATCTTCTATCAAAAGATGGAGAGAAGGCCATGGTGGAACCCACGCTGTGATGTCTACTGCCCTGGTTAAAAAGGATGGGTCGAAGGAAGATGTTGAGAAGGGGTTAAACGAAGCCGCAGCCTCAGTCCAGAACTGAAGGGTTCCTCATTTGAAACTATGGTTAGGTATTTCATTAGGCTTGTAGGGACAATGATAATACATGCAACAAACTATTTTTGGTTGTCTTTGCGGAGGTCATAATCACAGCAGGTCAACGGCATACCGTAAGCGGTTAGTTAGTTACGGTAACTTACGTCCGCAGTCATTAACTACCTAAGACACTTCCCTGAGCGCGACCAATGTGTGATCAAGAGCCATAGGTGCTTATAAAAAGCCTTGCTTGCCCACTCTCTCCCACTGCCTCTTCGCTTCATCCAGCCATGGCTAAGCGTTTACGTGGCACAATATTCTCTAGTATTTTTCAGTTACGCCCAGCCCTCCACGAACCAAGCATAGCACCCACACGTGCTCTTTCGGCAGCCCAAAGGATGCCGGAACCTTGTGACTTGTTCGAGTACACGACCGGACGATGGATGTATGTTGCGGGCTAGGGACTCCTTCCTATTAAACTGCTCAACTGATGTCCAAATTCAGCTATAATGACGCGTTGAGACATCGTGAGAGGAGACGTGCTTTCAACGTCTCTGAATTGAAGCGCCTTGCTGCCCTAGCGGTTCAGCAGAAGGAAGACGACGTCACTGGCTTCGAGAAGCTTGCCGAAGGAGGATTCAACCGAAGTTTTAAGATCACCATGCGAAATGGCTTCCAATTTGTTGCGCGAATTCCTTACCCTGTCACCGAACCAAAATTCCTAGTGGTCGCAAGTGAAGTCGCAACGATAGATTTTCTCCGTTCCCATGGCATTCCAGTTCCTAAGATTTTTGGTTACTCTGCCGTTGCAGATAACTCTGCAGGTACAGAATACATCTTCATGGAACTTGTCCAAGGACAAAACCTAGGTGATATCTGGTTTACTTTGTCTGAACAGGAGAGGATAACGCTGGTCACAAAGCTCGTGGAGCTAGAGTCTCGTCTATTTGGTTTACGGTTTCCAGCAAGTGGAAGTCTCTATTTCTACGATGACCTGCCAGCCCATGACTACCCAGTCATTGTTCCAAGCCCCAGCTCGACCCGCCGCTTCTGTATCGGCCCCGATACTTCGCTTGGTTTATGGTTCGGGAAAAGACTCAACTTATCCGTTGAGCGCGGGCCATGTAAGTATCCTTCGGATTGAAATATCCAAATGCAGAAGACGCTGGCGGTTAACTCTGGGAAGACCGGGATTCTTTGGCAGTTCTCACCGCTGGGGCCACAAAAGAGATTGCATATCTCAAAAGATTTGGACGACCTCTTCAGCCATTTCAGCGACTTCGCAGAGAGATGTACAATTACCAGGCCCAATCCCACCTCGAACATATTGTAAATCTGGAGAAATACCTACAAATTGCGCCTCACCTCATACCGCGGGATTGTCCTGCCCTTCATCGTCCGGTCCTACGACATCCTGATCTTCAACCCAACAACATATTTGTTTCCAGTGACCTAGAAATCAAAGGGTTAATCGATTGGCAACATAGTACGGTTCTCCCATTATTTCTGCAATGCGGCATCCCACAAAGTCTCCAGAATTATGGTGACGAGATCTCGGACTCACTACAAACCCCTACTTTACCAAGGAATTTCGATGAATTAGAGGAGATACAACGGTTCCAACATGCGGAAATTTTCCGCAAGCGTCAACTGCACTATCTCTATGTCAAATTGACTGCGGATAAGAATCCTGAGCACTATGACGCCTTGACCTATCATTTCAGCGCCTTAAGGCGGCGGATTTTTCACCATGCCAGTGACCCTTGGGAGGGTGATAATATGACCTTGAAAGCGGATTTAGTTACACTGTCGAAAAATTGGGGAGAAGTAAACCGTGATGCGAGAACACCTTGCCCAATCTTCTTTTCAGGCGACGAGTCGAGCGAATGTCTGCGACTGGCACGTGAACAATCCGACGCTGATGAACAATTTCAGGCTTGCCAAGAAGCAATTGGCGTTGCAAATGAGGGATGGGTGCCCGTTGCATACTACGATGAAGCAAAGGGACGCGAGAGAAAATTAAAAGCGGACGCTCTTGATGCTGCTGAAACAAAGGAGGAGAGAGCTAGAATTGAAGAAAATTGGATTTTCGACGACTTTTGTGAGGAGGATTACATCAAATAATCAGGCTGCGCGCCCAACGGGTATGGTCTGGCCCCAGTGGGCTCCGCCAGCCAAACTGTCATTCTTCCTACTCTCCCTTGAGCTGGGACTCGTGAGAAGGGAAACAAAAAGTGGAGGGATCGACAACTGCATCTGAATGCTAGCAGAGAAGGTTTTTGAATTCAGCTTGTCTTCAAGCTCGTGCCGATGCTATCTTCTGCAGACTTGTCTCAATTTCGCAAAGGCAATCCTTGACCGCCCGTTGCTTGCGCGGCAATTTCCTAGGAGATCGACGCGGCCGGAACAAAATCTCTTATCACCAGTCCAAAGACATTGTCGACATGGAAATTGTCATGCCAGATGCAAGACGCTACTATGGCCTCGTCCTAGGGCAGTAGGGAATCAGTCAGTTTAAGGTAGTTAGCTCTCGGTCGCAAAAAGCTTAGCTTACCGGGACGGTTGGTAAGTCCCGGAATAGTGAATTCCAATCGGTGATTGCGGCATTGCTCTCTGTTTCTGATAGGCCTCTCACACTCCAGTAGCCCGTTCGTAATCCTTTACTATATCCCAGGGGCCTCGGCGGAAGTCCAACTTTGCAGGCCAGCTGAGGGATCCAGGTACCGCAAGGCGACTGACCCGGGTTGTTGGTGGTGAACATGTGAGAAATCTTGGATGTATATACTCCCCGAAGCCCTGTTGACTCTTAATAATCTATTTTCATCCCAAGTGTCAGACCTCTGCGCCGAGAGCCAAGCCACAATGACTCAACCCTTGACCGCCTGCTGATTTCGCGGCAATTTCCTTGGAAATCAACATGATAGAAGTGGAGTATCCTATCAGCAGCCCCTTGGGCGAGCGCCCAAGCCACAGGCACGTGCAGCAATTTCAAGAGATATCAAGTCCAAGAAAACACCCTTATCACCCCTCGCCCAGGCATATATCTAGGAAAGGCAAGGTTTCCTAAATTACCCCTCTGTGGAGATAACAGTCCAATTACCAAGAGACAAGAAGGGTTAAGTTTACTATAAGACTATACTAGGGTACACTGAACTTGCACGCATGGAAGAGGCTATTAGATGTTATCACTAGATACAGTCACTAGAATAATCTCGCAAGGCAAGTTGTTTGAACTCAAATTACAAGCCCATGTGAAGCTGAAGCACAACTACAACCCTGAATTCCCCCAGCTCAGTCCACAGCAAATTACTGGTATCTGCATTGATTCTGCATGCGAGTTGCTGGAGTTGCTATCAGATCAACCTGATGCTCGCTGGCTTGTCCAAATCAACCCCCTGGTGGTGCGTGCTACATTATCTCATGCAGGTAGGTCACTGCTTTGCTGATAGAAATGAAACCTCACTTGTCAGCATGACACAGCTGGTGTGCGAAGCACCAGATGATGAGTTTGGAAGCATGCAAGCCAAAGGATTAAGTGGTAATTTAAATCATTGGTGGATAAGATAATAAGACCGCTTGCCACATGTTATTAGTTCATACATGACAGGAGATAACTAAAAAAACCAGTGTTTTTGAAAAGCATCAACCTGCTTTCTTGTTGAGAGTTGTACACCAGTAAACCTGTATCGCGCCTCAGCTTCTCCCTGGATACTGCTTCAAGAATACCTCATCACCTCTGACCAAGGTCAAGCCTTGTCCCCTCTCTTACCTTTTCTTTGGACCAGTGAGAATGCCAACTCCAGGCAGGGCCTGAAATATGCTCAAACAACTCTTGGTGTGACTGGGTAAAACCAATGTGTTTCAAGCAGCCTTTTTCAGATATAGATTCTACTAATATCTTTTCTACAAGCATTCTTGTCCGTCAGTGTCAGATTCTCTTGACTCTTGCTAGTGCAGATTCTCTTGCTAGCAGAAGATGGTTCAGTGGAATTACTTATTTGCAGATCTTCTTTACTGTTGTAATTCACACTGGCATAGAGACAATGGTATGACAGCTGCACAAGAGATCTCTTGGAAGTTTCTGTCATCATCAATCTGATCAATCAATAAACTAGGACAACTACAGTAATAAAAGTTTACTGATTAGTGTAAAGTTGAATCTTTATTCTTCTCAGGCCAAGTTCTCAATGCCATGCTGTGCTAAGAATCTCAGGTCAAGCCCTGTTGGATTATAAAGTTCAACCTTGATAATCTTGGTATCAACTACCAGATTGAGATCCATATATCTCTTACTTGGGTCATTAGTCAGCAACTCAGCTACCTGAGTTTGTATGCTTTTCCCACACAAAGTTGTTAGTCATGTGACCAAAGGTTGTTATTTACTTGGACATAAAGATCATCCTTAGATAGAAGAGTCAGACCAATATGAATATATTTTATTATCTCCCTACTAGATCATATCTAGTTTGACAAGCTCTTTAATAACATGCCATGTAAGAGATTTCTATACTATTCTCTCTTTGGCTTAGCATTTACTTTTTCTTTTGGTTTACTGTCACATATAAATATTGTGTATGTATTGTACATACACTTATCTACCATCTTTCTTTTTTCTTCTTCAAGTAATATATTTATATATATAGAGTCTTAGCTAGTAACTTTAGCTTGGCCTATAATATTATATATTATTTTTTTCTTTCACTTTATAAAATAGATGCTTATGAACTGAAGAATAAGAAGAAACAGAATTATAAAAGACAGTACTAAAAAAGCCCATCTTGCATTTACATCTCAAAATATTGTAGTGGGGATTCTGGTACTATATTAGAACCAAGGTTGTTTAGATGCTACTTTTCTTCTCCCTCTTCTCTTGCTACTTCTTCCTCTTTCCCCTCCCCTCTCTTCTCTAAAACTACTATTTTTGAGCTATATAAACTGTCTAAACTCTTACATCTCACCCAACACCTTCATATATTTCCACATTTTTACTATACACTTATTTGTTCTTATTACTAGTTAGTTTATTAGCTAGAAAATATGAAGATCTCTTGTTTATGAAGTTTACTACTGTTCTTTATTAGAGCTGCTTGTCTTAGTACAGAGCTTTATAATACTACTATTACTTCTTATAAGATTAGGCATCTGTTAGATCATACTTATTTCTGTTCTTACTGTTCAGCTTTTACTATTATTACTATACTGTTAATGTTCATCTTTTTTGTGCTCACACTATCTCAATCAATTTGCTTATCTTGATGAAGCATCTTATTGTACCCTGCTTCAATATTAACAGCAGTTATAAGAACTATAAACTACATCTACAAACTATAAATACAAATTAAATTGTAAGAATTCACTTATAAATTTCTTACATGAACAAATAACATCTACAAGAGCTGAGAGTCTCAGCTTGCAAGTTGTTAAAAGTTGTATTTGCTCTTGTAAGACACTAAGTCATGTGCTTACAAGCATACATAAAAGATTATTACTGTGTGAATCTCTTGCTGGAAGTTAGTAATAATCTTGTCTACAAGTTGTATATAGTTGCTAGAATACTAGATTTTTTATCTTGTATACTCTTTTCCATATATATTTCTTCTAGAAATGTATTATTATACTGATTCATACATTTAATTCTCCCTGAGAAGACTATGAATTTCACAAAGTCTGGTGGTATAGATAGCTGCTCTCTAATACTTTACAGTCCTGTGAAAAGAAGCTACACTAATAAATATCATATCTACTGCAAGAGATATTCATATCTGCTAGAGGTCAGCTTCACTACTCAGAGCTGAGGCTATCTAGATCTTGCTAGCTTCTGATTAATCAGTTTAATTCACCAGTGTGCTGGTCAATTCTTTTGAGTTTAGTACTATTTTTAACTTTGCATTTTCAATTTCTGTCAACAGATTACAGCAATTTACATCTGCTTGCCAAATTAAATCAGTATTCTTGTTGAATTGCTTCAGAATTTCAAAAGAAATTGGAATTTAAAGCTTCAGTAATAGTGTGAAAAGTGTTTCTGACAGGTGCAAAGCTGGCATCATTTATTTTCACTAATATCTCAAAAACTCATAAGGCAAATCGCCTGAAAATTGGAGATATTCTAAGTAGAGAAATAGCTTTCAAATGAATATAGTTTCGTCCAATTTGAACAAGAATTGACAGAGTTGTGAAAAGAGAGACTTGCAGTATGATGTTGGTGTTGTAATCTACTACTTAGTTAAAGCAGAAAATCAATCAATAGAGCATTCAAATATCTATAACTTTGATAAAAAAGAATTTCTTCTAGGCTTCTGCTATGTCTTAAAGTGATTAGTCTCTATTGAAGCCCTGCAAGCTAAAAAGAATACTGCTATTCAGAATAATAGTTAGAAATTCCTCTCATTGCTCTGCTCAGTCTTCACTGAAGAAATTACACTACCTCCAGCTCTTATTTATCAGAGCAAATCACAAGAGCTCCAGAATACATGACTAGATAATTATAATAAAAGTGAATAGGTCTACTTTACAGTTTTAACAAATAGTTAAAGAAATAATAAATATAAACTGAAGTAGTTAAAATAGATTTTCAATTAGTATACTAAGAAACAAGCTGGTTAACAAAGATATCTACTTCTACTAGATAGACATTTCTCTCATATAAATATAAAATTTATTAAATATATTAACTGTAAAAAAGATCCTTCTTATAATTCTTCTACTGCATTTCACATACTTTTTGCAATCTCTTGATATTAAAATCTTTAAGCTACTAGATAAAATATCTTTTAATAAGCTAAAAGCACTATTATATTATAGAATAAGCTATATTTAAATAATAAAAAGAGATCTCTGAAGATTATTTAATATGGCTTGAATAAAGACTTTAACAGTTGAAAATATACTTGCTGACTTTGTAAAGACTGGAATTAATTCTTTAGATTTTTAATATTAACTACATTGATTTAAAACTGCTCAAGCTTCTATACTGTCAGTTAAATCTCTTATTTCTAGCAATATACACCAGCTTTGACAAGGGATTAAGAATATATATATCTAGTATAATCTAAATTTGCAAAGTATTAAATAAGTTATTCAAGTTAGTAAGTAATTTACTTTTTATAATAAACTACTGGAATATGAGAATCAGTATCTAAGATTAACTTTAGTAATATAGAAGCAACAATGTAAGCAAGACAAGCTCTTAAATCTACTTAATAAAGATAATTTTAATCAAGCACATGTTAGAAAACTGGTTGTAGGTTGCGTGGGTTTTCCCTAGATTTAAAGTATAAAAGAGCTAAGTAGATTTGATATTCACAACTGGTGAGAGGGAGTCCTGCATAGAATGTAGAAGTCCTCTAACTAGAAGACTGAATACTGAGGTTCCCATGATCTGTGCAAATCATGTGATTCTTATACATTCAGAATTAGAGTCATGTGAGTACTCTTGAACATCTGATGTTGTCTAATACTTGGTTAATCTAGGTCTACATTTGTAACAGTACAGTTCTAATCTCTAATAAAAATTCTTAATACATGCAAGCATCTAGATGAAATAGAGACTGAAAAAGCTAATAAAATTACTTAAATATAAGAGATAAAGCTTCAATAAAAGCTTCAAAAAAAGCAGACTGCTAGAGATATTAAAGAAAGATAAATTAAATAAAAAAATGCTTGTAAAAAGATCTGCAAGTAATAAGAGATCAAAAAAGTTAAACATACTAAATAAAGAAAGACATAGTATATTACTTGTAAGAAGAAAAACACTTTACAACTAGTAGAAAAGAAAAAACAGATAGTTAAATATATTATTAAATATTAGTAGTCAGAGCTTCAAGCACCAGCTTTAAAGTGTTATCAGAAAAACCCTTCTACTAAAAAGTCTTATTATAAAGAGTCCATATAATCTTTCAAAAGAGAAAGTAAGAGCTTTACAAGTCTCTCTAGCAAGATATTAAACTCTCTAACTGAGAAATCTACTATTGACATTTCTTTGAATTCTTTTCTATTTACTCTCTGAATCTCTCACTCTGGCTGCAATATTAAACTGTTCACTTGTTTATTTTCCTAACTACACTAATTTCTATGCTTCAAAAAACACATTCATTTAATATTTAATAGCTATTTAATAATAATGATCTGGTTGTTGAGATATTTAATAAATTCATTGCATGGAGCATTTGGCAAAATTTGGCTTGTTCAGTGGTGAACTCCAGACCTTAGAGAGTCACGTGTACAGGGGTGAGCTGTATCCTCTAACACAATCAAAAATCCCATCTGACCTGTTTCATATAGAGATAAAACTCCTACTTATTTATCTTGACTCCCCCATGCTAGATTGATCTCTATAATGATGCTGATGTGCTCTTGACTGAATTAATGTTTTTTTACTTCATATGGCTTTTTTGACTTTTGTTTATTTTTTCTTCAAGATCATGGTCAGCAGTTGCACCCATGGTAATGAAATGAGCATCTTCTATGAGAAAATATGATATAATTTCTTAGAGTACTTAGTCTGTCTCAAGTAAGGTCCTGATGTTTTCTAGAAAATAATTCTGACTATTATCACTATACTACTGGATGCTGGCTGTTTAATGAGTCTCAGCAGCTTGAAGCTTGCTATGTGTGATTTAATGTAGATGCATTAGCAGTAATTGCTGCAAGATGCCTAGGCTATGACCCTGTATCATGTGTCAAAATTGAGAAGATATCTGAAGAAAACTTCAATAAGAGTCTTCTTCTTATCATGGCCAATGGCTCTTAAGTCATTGTGAGGGTTCTCAATCCCAATTCCAGTATTTCACACTTCACAACTACCAGTGAGATTGCTATAATGGATTTTGTATATGCTGTCACCTCTTTGTTTCAGCAGGTCTCTTATACTGATTATTTTTAGGCTAGAAATAAGCTTGATCTATCAGTTCCTAAGATGCTTGTGTGGAATTCACATGCATCAGAGAACCCAGTTGGAGCAGAGTATATTATTATGAAGAAAGCAGCAGATTCTTCTCTTGCACATATCTGGCTATGTTTGAGCAATAAAGAACAGAGAGATATTATTAGGGCTATGGTTAGCTTTAATGTTAAAATACTGAATCATCTCCTTGGCAGCATTAGCTTCTTGTATTATTCAAGAGATATCCCAAGTGGGACCAACCACTTACCAGCTCTAGAATTGAGGGATGCTTGTAGTTGCTGGGTTCTTAGATCTACTACAGATTGATGCTTCTTTAATGATGACAGAGAAGAGCTTTTCTTGAATTGGAGTTCTTGTAAGTTTTGTATTGTTCTCTTGCACTCCAATTTGATAGCTAACTGACTTATCTCAGGAAATACTGCAAAAGAGTACCTAGCTGCAATCTGTTACTGTGAAATAAAGGCCATTCAAAATCTGAGGTAGCCTCTTTAATTGGAAGAAATTGTTGGTTCTGAGAGATATTAATTCAATTGTGCTCTCAAGCTCTCAGTATGCTGTGACTTTCTGAAGATAGTAGATCATATTCTGCTGTCTGAGGTCTGTCAGACATCTATTCTGTGGCACAAGAATCTACATCTGGACAATATCTTTATGAATTCTGAGAAACCTACAGAGATTATTGGGCTTATTGACTGGCAAAATGTCCATGTTTTGTCTCTATTTAACCAGGTCATGCATCCTGCCTTTTTGAACTATAAAGAACTGAAACTTGAAGGTCTCAAGATACTATCTTTACTGGAAAACTTTGAAGAGCTTGATGAGATTGCAAAGAAACATGCAAAAAAATTGCTTGTTGAGCAGACTCTGTACAAATACTATAATCTTTACTCAGCTTCTATAAATGTACTGGCTTATCATGCACTGAGATATCAGAAGACACTTCAGGAAGAGATTGTCACTCTTATTAGCATGCTCTTGAATAATGGAGAACCACCCCTGCAAGAGCTTCTGATGAAACTTGCCAGCAAATGGAATCAACTCATTAGCAGCAAGAAAGACCCTCCATGCCCTCTGCAGTATTCAGCTGAAGCCATTGATTGCCAGCAGGAATTGGAGGTGAAGTGGGTGGAAGGGATAGTGCTGATGGATGATGTACTAGAGTCACTAGGAGGAACTATTTGTGGATGGGATGGCTGGGTGAGCCATGAGGATTATGAGGCACTCAAGCAAAAACTTGACCTTGTCCGAAAGCAGTTCATTGAACATTTTGCTGGGGACGATAGAGAAGCTGCCAAGGCATGGGCACAGGCTTGGCCATTCAATGAGATGCTGCTCGACGCAGCAGATGCTGATCTCGGTTATAGTCGTGCAGGACATGGGGGTTACAGCTGTAGCTGACAAGAGAAAAGGGACTGAGACGATCTGGAAGAATACGAGTCAATAGGGAGAAATAAGGCGCTGGAGGCTGCTGATTGAGAACAAGGCGGGCATTTTAAGCGCCGCGGCCGCCATGACTCCATCTTTTAGTGTAATGCACAGCAATGCGGCTTCTGCTTTCTCTTATTTGGCATCCAATAAATTGCACGAAACTGGCAAGGCACTACCCCTGGAGACTGTGAGCAAATTCCCTTGTATCACTCTGCAATAGGCTCTTGGCCTGTTGCTGTGGCAGCTGCGTCGATTCTTGGCTGTATTTGTAAAGTCTAAGGGGAATGCTTACTTTTCTAGCGAGGCAAATGTACCAAAAAGAAATGGCGATTGTTTTCATGCAAATTGGAATGCCTCTTGCTGACCCCTCTTCACTCTGAAGGCAACAGTCTGGATATTCTAGCTCGTTTAGCCACTAGGCAGCAAAAGCAAAAATGAGGCGCCACATCTGTCTGCCCGCTGCTTCCGACGATCTGGAATAAGCTCGCTTCGCCTACACCTGAGTGACAGGGATTTCATACTCACTGGCTGGCGGAAAACGAAATCAGATGTGCGCCGCCGGATCATCAAATATCGACAGGGCAAGAAAGGCAGCCTCGCCGAGCTGGCTGCCTAACGAGAAGGCTACAACACCCACAAAGCTATTGAAATCTGATATTCAGAAGCCTTGCTCCACACACACCCTCGAAGAGAGTCATCAATCTACTAGCCGAGCCAGTGCATCCAGAATTAAGACATTAATTTCAACTGGCCCTCTTGTTTGCATGCCCCCATCCGGCGAATCCTGAAGCGCATGGAGGCTATGTACACCCCCTGGGCCAACACGGGATACCAAGACGACGACATGTTTCTTAGCGCCTCACAGAGTTGAGCTAATGCAGTGAAGTAGCTCCGACCATGGTCAGTCAACCTGTGGCTCTGGCTCGGTATCGCCTTTGCTCCAGCATCTTAATGTAGCTAGAGAAGGCCTTTTGAGTCTTTCATACTGCTCTTCTGATTGTGGCAAGCTTACTTCCGGTCGTTCCACCAGCGTACGTATGTTGGTGAGACGCCATGCATATCTTGACATCTCGCATTCGCCCTAGCTCACCGCAGTCGAGGTATACTTCAAAGAGTTGGTGCTGGACTTTACGTGGCTGCTTTTTCCACCTATTGAGTAATGCGACAAGCAACTGCTCACCTTAAGGAGACTTAGTTTTATAAAAACAGTCTCTTCTTCCTCACTCTTTTCAAACAGATGCAAGTCTTCTGGAGACAACGAAGCCTTTCAAAACAAGATATTTCCTAACACAAACACGAACCTCGCTTTCTAAACTGAAGGTACTTGTTCTTCCAGGGCTTATTGATAGAGAATGACTAAGAGGAATAGACTCGGAAAAATGTGCAAAAGGGCTTACGATATCCAGACCGGTGCTTGTCGCCACAGGATTGAAACGCCTGGGAGTCTTGTGCCGGATGCTGATTGCAAGGGCTGTGGAATTGAAAAGGGTCGAAACGATAACATTGCCGCAACGACCTCGCATACTCCATGCGACGATTGTCAGCATAAAGGCCTCTGGGTCAAGAGAGCTGACGGAAAATGGTACGAGGCCGCCAAGGGGGCGCCTAAGCCGCTTCCTTCTTTTAGATATCCCTCCTGTCAGTCCTTCCTGCAAGGCTCAAGATTCTGCAGATCTAATAACCTTCCAGAATCGCTCGGCAAGGTTCACTGTCTATGGACATTGTACGGCGAGTGTTGAGTGTTTGTTATCTGATGGACAGAGGTGGACAGGCGCTGAGTTGGAGATCAGGTGAAGGTCCGGGATATCTTTTTGGTTGTGTTTGTTTCGGGGGTTCCGCGCCAGACCCATCACAATGGGTTCAAGAAGCGGCCCGCTAGAACTGAGTGGGCCGCGATGATTTAGCTTGAGTCTGCTGGTACAACAGGTTATCACTTGCAATGCTGAATACCGTCCTTATTCTTCGTGATATTATATCAAAATACACAGATGCCTGAATTTTTAATTAAGCTTTAGTAGACGTACTTTGTACAAGGTACTGAGATAGTGCTGGCAAAAACGGCATAGCGTGGAGTCTGGAGCAGCACCCCTGTTTGTCTCAATCTCTTTTCTTTTTCTCCTCTTCTCTCCGCCCAGCACACAGATGGACACTCCAACACTTTCGTTCTCTCGTCCTCTTGTCCTCTCGCCCTCCCAATATCAATCTCTCGCCTGCTACTCTACACAGCTGCGATTGAGATTACAAATTAACCGTCGCCATCTTCAGCATGGATACTGCCGAGAAACACAACTGGGTTGCCGGGGGTTCATATTCCAATATCCACCGCGTCACTCCGAGTATTGTGGTGAAGATTGTTCGTCCTAAGTTGAAAGAGGAGGGACTGGAGCATCCGTTCTTCAGGGAAATCTCTTTTTTCAAACGCATGAACGACCGCCAGGATCGATGTTTCCATATAGTTGAATGTTTCCTCACATTCCCTGACCATATTTTTCTATCCTATTGCCCGAACCAGACTGTCGGCCATCGATTACGTCCCCGCCAGGAGCGAGAGCCAGGGGTAAATGGCTTCCAAGGGCGTGTTAGTCGTGTGAAAGAATACGAGGATCCCGCTTTTGTCGCTCGATGGCTGCAACAACTAGGGTCAGCCCTTGAATACGTCGAGAAAATCGGCTTTTGTCATAATGACCTGCATGAGTTCAACTGTCTTCTTGACAAGGACTTCAATTTGAAGCTGACAGATTTTGGTCGTGCCACCACCATTGGACAGTTCCTTGAAGATACTATGCCTCCACGCGCCAGAATAATTGTCGCTGGTCCTTTGAAAGACACCTATGGTCTCTGCTCTGCTAGGACTGAGCAATTCGCGCTTGGATCTCTTCTATACTTTATGGTATACGGCCATGAACCCTACGAGGATACGGACCGAGAACTCAGTCGATCAGAATATGATCGCCGATTCGGCGAGATGGAGTTTCCAGAGCTAAACCGCCACGAGGTTTTTGACGAACTTATTTCTGCTTGTTGGCACGATGTCTATCCTACTATGGCTCTAGCAGCCTATGACTTCAAGCGCAAAACAAAAGACATCGCAGGCTCGATTCCACAATACGAGACCGTTGATCGCGCGAAGGAGATAAAGAGCTGTGAAGCCCTGATTCGAAAAGGGATACTTGGGCCTGAATTGGCACTTCGCTACCAACCATTCTGGTGGAAATATCTCCATGCAGCGAAAAGCATGTTCTTTTGGAAGGCCTTGGCTGGTCTACCAAGGAGAATCTGGCTGTGGCTCTGGTTTTGATTGTCAAGAAAAAGAAATTCACTTCCTGCAGGAACTATATTTATCATTTCTCTCTCTTGGCCATCTTGTGGAGTATACTAGCATTGTAAAGAGATTGCGCCATGTACTTATATTGCGACGATGATCAATCAACACTACAAACCAGGATCTGTCTTGTTTCATTGCAAGGACAGGATTGCATCGTGGTTGTAGTATGCTAAAAATACAGTCAGAAAAAGAGCAGTTAGAAAAAGGCGTTTAAAGAACTCTGATTTATGATTGGCCTGCCAATAGTGAGATACTGTTGGAAATTTCAGGTCAATCTCTATTCAATTTTATATGGCTGGAACATCCCTTTTTAACAACAGGCACTATACCAAATTAGGGTGCCTAATAATGGATCTGACCAATCACAGAGTCTAAACAACTTTTAATGTAAGAAAGGATTCTCTACATATAATATCATACACTCTGAGAACCTTAATCCGTCTTACATATTATCATTTTGCCATCTTGTTTGTGAACTTCATAAATAAACAAAGGTTTACATAGTCTGTAATAATCTCTACAAAATACATTATTCCTTCTAAGTACTATCATTAATGGACAAATGCTTAAACAATGACCAACATTTCTTTATCCAGCATGTTATAGGCTTATTAAGCCTGATCAAACTTAAATAACCAGTAGACCTGAATGTCACTCATTATCAAACAGCTGTAGCAATATCATGCCTGCAGCATGTTCTGAAGCATTTATTTCCAGGTATATTCTACATTCTAAGTTATAGTGATAATAACAGATTGTTCAGAAAAAAGCATCTGTAATTTGTGAAATACTTACTATTATTATTATTATTATTTATCATAGTCTTATATAGTTAATGACTACAAAAACTACTCAGCAGCTTATCTGTTAGAATTTAATATACATTGTAAAAACTGAAAAAAGGGAAAAATCAAAGTATTTCAAGATAATATAAGATATTCTTTCTTCACAAAAGTTACATAACATATAGTACATAATATTAATTTCAAGGAAAAATAAAAATTCTTATAGCAAAGTAATACAAATTAAAAAGAAATAATGTTAACATATTGTTAAAGAGCTGAATGTAGATTATATGTATTCTCCCTGAAGTTAGAGTACAAAAGAACTAAGTGGGTTCAATGCCTGCAACTGATAAAAGAGAGTCATGTGTAGAATGTAGAGATCCTCTAACTAAGAGACTGAATACTGAGATTTCCACAATTCATGCAAATTATGTGATTCTTATATATTTAGAGTTGGGGTCACATGAGTATCTCTGAACATCTAACATTATTTAATGCTTGGTTGATCTAGATCTATATTTATAATACTATTCTTCTCTCCAAAGATCTCAGACTTCAAGACATAGAGTTACTAAAGTGGTTTTTCATACATTATTATTGTAGCTTCTCTGTCATTGATAAAGTATTGTAGATTCCTAAATGTACAAGGTTTTGCATTTCTACTACTTGTCTATATAGATATCTTACATGTATCTTGCTACTAGTTGCAGTAGATTCTTTATTATAGAATATTAATTATCTTATTATAAAAGTTCAGCATTTCATCACATACTTATTTCTTTATTTGTTTGCTTGTCTGGTTACTATATTAATTATTGTCTGTTGCTATATTATTTATCAACAAATTACAAAACTAATAATTTTAGTGCATTGTAATGCAGATATAAATAAAGAGTTTCTCACTCTTATTCTTCTTCTTTTCTTTTGCTATATCTTAATGCAAGTATTATTGTTTTTTTTGATTTTCAGTTTATTAGTATATTATTGTCAAAAGATTCTGTTCTTAATAATAAAGAAAATGTGCTTTGCTACTCTATTTGTATATACTTGATATTTATAGATTATTTAAATAAAGCTGAATCTTGTGTATGAGATGCTGAGAAGAAATTCTGTACCTATTACTTAGAATATCAAATTTATATCTGTTGTAATATAAGTATGTCTTTATTTATTGTTCTTGTTGTTTTGATATAGCTATAAATTTTAAAGTTTATAATTAAAGTTATTTATAGACTTTTATATCTTTAAAAGAAGTATTATAGTTTTGATACTGCTGATTTACATCATTCTTACAATATAAAATGTATAAGCATACTCATGCAAGAGTTTTGTGAACTTGACTTCAGAGCTGCAAAATATTATTATTGCCAAATCATTTCTGTTTTCAAAAAATCTTTTTCAAAATGTTGTTGTTCTATCTTATATTATAAATTTAAGACTGTAAATCTTTTCAAAATCAAATCTATCAAAAATAGTTTGTCTGAGTTTCTTTATTTATTAATCTTAGTTTGTACTATCTTGTCTTGAGTTAAAAATAAAATTGAAAATATTCATGCTTTTGTGATCTGAGAATTAGATTGCCTGGGTCCTCTGAACTAAAGAAAACTATTTACATATACATGCCTGTAGACTAATGTCAGAAGACATTGGAATCTATTGAAGTTTGTAAGCTCTAATAGAGTGTAACTAAGAGAAGAAATGTACTATATAGTGAAAAGAATTCAAAGAAATATCAACAGTAGATTTCTCAGCTAGAGAGTCTAATATCTTGCTAGAAGTGCTTGTAGAGCTCTTACTTTCTCTTTTAAAAGATTGTATAAACTTTTCACAATAAAGCTCTTTAGTAGAGGAGTTCTTTTAACAGCACTTTAAAGCCAGCACTTGAAGCTCTAACTGTCAGTATTTATTAGTACATTCAATTACTTATTTTTTCTTCTCTGCTAGTTGTAAAGCCTTCTTCTTCTCACAAGTAATATATTATGTCTCTTTTTGTCTAGTATATTTAATTTTTTCAGTCTCTTATTGCTTCTGAATCTTTATATAAACATTCTTTCATTCAATCTATCTTTTTTTAATATCTCTAGCAGTCTGCTTCTTTTAAAGCTTTTGTTAAAGTTTTATCTCTTGTATTTAAGCAATTTTATTAGCTTTTTCAGTTTCTATTTCATTCAGATACTTGCATGTCTTAAGAATTTTTATTAAAGATCAGAACTGCACTTGACTAGAATTATCTTTATTGAGTAGATCTAGAGGCTGGCCTTGCTTGCAGCATTACTTCTTTATTACTAGAGTTAATTTTAACTACTGATTCTTATGTTCCAGCAGTTTATTATAAAGAGCAAACTGCTTACTAGCTTGAATAACCCATTCAATGCTCTGCAAATTTAGACTGTGCTAGAGATATATATTCTTGATCTCTTGTTAAAGCTGGTGTATTGTAGTGGGGATTCCAGTACCTTATTAGGACAAAGGTTGTTCCAGTCTGAGGTGCAAACCACCCCAAGCTACTATTCTTGAGCTATATAAACCATGTGTAGCCCCTGCTTCTTGCTTATTACCTTCACACACCATGGCTCTTTTCTACACACTCATTCCTTACTACCAGTTCAGTTATTAGTTAGAGAATATGAAGATTTCTTGTTCATGAAACTTGCTACTGTTCCTCATTAGAGCTGCCTGTGTTAGTATGCGGCTCTTTAGTACTATTACTTCTTGCAAGCTTAGGCATCTGTTAGAACATATCTATCTCTACACTTACTACTCAACCATACCCTTACTATATTGTGATTTTTCACCTTTCTTGTGCTCTCACCACATCAACCAACTTATCTATCTTGACAAGGCATCCCATTGTACCCTGTTTCATTTGGTGACCAAGCTAAGACCTGAAGATGATGATGCAGTGATTTGATGACTGCCAGGAAAGAGAAAAACAAATTCTGAGACACATGAAGCAATACACTATTTCAAGATAAGATCTTATGGACTAGGAACACAGTACTAATCAGGTTTTTTATTTAGGAATAAGATTAGGGAGCTTAGATTTGAATGCCTCTTATCTAGAGCTTGCCTGATAAACAGGTTTTTGGAAGATATTGACTAATAGACAGAACATACTGTGTGACATGACTAAAGATCAAGAAATCAAGAAATTGGAATCAAAATCAACTATGGCTAAAGGTACTACAGAATCATATGCAACTATGTTACAAAGTGAGAACAAGAGAATTGTGGTTCATTCCCACATTCCTATGCCTTCCCCTGGCACAGCAAATGCATCTTGGTTTGACAGCAGAGATGCTACTCTGTTCATTGAAAGGTTTTATCAGATGTGCAAGGATCATGGGGTAATTAACCCTAAAAACATTATTGAATGGTTGGCTAGATACTGTGTTACATGGATTGGAGAATGAATGAAGATCTTGGAAGACTACAAAGAAGATAATTAAGAAGTATTCTCCAAAGAGATTATTCATAAATTTCATGATCAAGACATTACTTACAAGATTCACTGTCAGAATTATCTCCAGGCAATTACAAAAAAACTGTGTGCTTGGGATGGCAACATTTACACCTATATTCAAGAATACACTACTATTGCCAGTACAGTTCAAGCAAATGGAAGGCTTGATAAATTCACTAAGGTGTCTTGATTCCTTCAGGGGCTACCTGAGAAGCTCCAGAATAAGATTATTGACAAGGCCAAGCTCAATCTTTCAGATAATATGTCACCTATTGATTTTAGGAAAGTTGTTCAGGTGACTATGGATTTGATTGACCAGTATAAAGGGAATAAGAAGATCTTTAAAGAAGATGAAATGAAACAAAAGAAAATGAAAAAGCTTGATGAGCAATATCAATTGGCTAACAAGCCCCCTACAGTTGAAGCTCCAAAGAAAACAGCTAGTTTTGTGAAGACTGAAGAATCCAAATCAAAATCCAAAGCCAAGAGCTCTGACAGCACTAATATTAAAGCTGCTATTAAAAAGATGACCAATGAGTTCACAAATTTGGCATTGGCCATGAGAGTACAATTAAATCAGATACAAGGGAATTCTGATCAGTATTATATGCTGCAGAGAGAAGGACCTTCAAAACCTATATCAAATTATCTAACTAATATGACTGTTAATCCTACAACTGTACAAGAGAATACTCAACTGTCAGTCAACCCCTATTTGGCTTGAAATGGCTCTTCTATGACAGACTATAGTGGTGCTTGTGGATGAGGAGGAGCTTGAACTGGAGGAATTTCAACACATTTCTCATGCTTCTACTGTGGAAAACCTGGACATCATCAATCTCAGTGTTATGAATACCAATCCAATATGAGTAATGGATACTGTTATATTGATAATGAAGAGAACTTACACATGAGCTCTAAGAGTCAAAACTATCAAGCTGTCACTTCTAAATCTGGAATCCTGAACATGTATATTGTACAGTCTATGGGAGAGAATGAATAAGCAATTCTGAAGTTGACAAGCTCTCAAAAAAAGATTAATCAGCAAGAAGAGACATCTCCTGCAAATTCAATCAGTATGAAGATTCAAGCAGAATGACTTGCATACTTAATGTCTGATGAAGAATCCAATTTGGATAAGAAATATAAACCATTGAAAGAAAGAACATCAATCAATATTGGAACAGTTGGAGAAGCTAAGAACAATCAAAGAGCTAAGATTGCAACACCTCATACTTAGTATACTGGACAATTTATTACTTACTGGGATAATCAGGCTAGTGTTGATGATGATATCATGGAAGATGTTGAACTGATCAATCAGAAGAAGCCTGAAATTCAGAGCAAGTCTGTGGAGAAACAAAGATCAAGATATTCTGCAACAGATTGCTTATCCTCTCAGATCTGTGATTCAACAGATGTCAATGAATTAATGGGTCAAATTCTCAATGAAAAGGTCAAATTATCAGTCAAGAAGCTTATAGATGTATTACTGAAACTTCATCAAGTGTTTTTTGAATCAGGCTGGAATAACAGTACTAGCAAAAGCCATGCAAGGGTTGGAGTCTCTGAACCAGTTCAGTCTGAGCTAAAGATCAATTTCAGTCAACTTACTTCAAAGCCCATGGTGCCAAAATCCAAAACAGCATATGAAATGTGTTTATTATATGCACCAGTCACTATAAACCAACAAGAATTAATAGTATTGATCAATACTGGTTCAGAAATCAATTTGTTGTCTCAGAAGTATGCTGAAATGTTGAATCTGCCAATGAAAAATAAGCTGTGAGTGACCATGGTTGTTCAAACAGGAGAAGTCACTTCTTTTTACACATTTTGTGACAAAGTGCCTGTTCAAATTGGAGATATTATTACACATACCCCTTTCCTTATATTTGAGGGAGGGGATCAGCAACTTATTCTTGAAAGATCTTGACAATTTGCTACCTGTTGGGGGTGTAACACCTCAGAAAACAGCAGAGTGAACTGTGAAATTTATAATGAGAAATGAACACATCATCTAGTTTTTGAAGACTTTAAGCCAAACTCAAGCAACATGAGATATGTGACTGATAAATCAAACAGTGATCATTTAAATAATTCAACAGGCATTTAATCAGGCAGGTGTCTGTGGATACAAGACCTGAGAAGAATAAAGAAGATGTGATGAAGACAATGAGTATAAGAATTAATGATGAGAAGATTGAAGGTCAGGAGATTGAAAAGAATAGAGAAGTCAGAAGTGTTGGCAGCATTGCTGGTGTTGGTGATTACAGCAATAAGAAGAAACATAATTCCAGTGTTGGTGAATCCAAAAGAGCACTAAACCTAATTGGATTGACCAGCACACTGGTGAATCAAATAGATCAATCAGAAGACAAGAATACTTTTGCATTGGGAGTTCAGATTTTCCAATCTCTGCTTCCTGATCCAGATAGTGTCATGGCTCACTGCAAACATTACACACACAATATAAATTCCAGTTTAATTCACAAACCTATTCTACAAAGTGCTTGATCAATTTATGCATCTCTGAACAAAAATCACAATTTTGTCATGAAGAAATCACATCAGACAGACATTTTCAATAGTAAATAGGACATCAGATCATCTTCTTCAAAGGTCTGGAGAGTGTGCACTGCTTATAAGTGGAAAGCTGATAAGATAAGGCCATTAGCACCTGGAAAATCTGATGAAAGCAAGCCAGAAGACCTAGATAATTGGGTGGATGTTTGTTTGAATAAGTATTACTCTGAGGAGAAATACATCACATTTAATTGTGAATTTGATGATTATATTAGGCCTAGAATCACACCCTTTCCTGTTGGAGAACAGCTAACAAATGAGAGAATTAAGAAGCTTCAAATTGGATTCAAACTAACAAGTCAGAAGAAGGAATTTTTCATATTAGTCCTTTATAAATGTGAAGGGGTGTTGGCTTGGTCATTCAAAGACCTATATGATATTCATTCTGAATACTTGCCTCCCCAGGTTATTCAGACAGAGCTCCATAAGATCTGGCAGACTAAGACTTACTGAATTTCTCATGCTCTACATGATAAGCTAATTAAAATCATTCAGGACAGGTTAGAAGCTAAAATGTTGGAGTCTTGCCACAGTTCATATACCAATCTCTATTTTCTGGTTGCAAAGAAACAGAAAGGTGAATATTGTTTAGTTGACACAGCACATATGTACAACAAAGTTACTATTCAGAACACTTTTATTTCTTCTAATGTTGATGAATATGCTGAAGACTTCAGTAGACTTGTTATGGCTAGTCTATGCAACTTATTCTCTGGATACAATAATTTTCTGTTAGCTGAAGAAAGCAGAGATATGACAGCCATTGCAATCTCTATTGAGCTCTTTTGCTGTACAACTTTAGTTCAAGGGGCAACAAATTCACCAGCTCAAGCCCAACACAGGATAATGAAGATAATATGTAAGGTTTTTCCAGAGATTGCTTGAGCCTTTATGAATGACCTTGGGGTAAAAGAATCACATGTCAAAAATGAAACTGAAGTCCTCCCAGAAATAAGAAGATTTGTTTATGATCATCTGCAGAACCTGAACTACATTCTATGGCTTGTCAAAATCTCTGGGGCCAGCATCTCCGGCACCAAATCTTAATTCTGCATGTCTGGAGTCAATGTCATTGGATAGGTCTGCAACTATGACAGATAATGACCTGAGGAAGCCAAGATGGCTAAAATTGCAAATTAGCCTACTCCTACAAGCATTACAGAATTATGAGAATTCCTAGAGCTTGCTAGATATTTCCAAATACTTATAGAGCATTACAGTTGAATAACTGAACCTTTACATTATCTGCTTTGATGAAATGTTACATGGACATGGACTGAAGAGCAAAATAATATCTTTATGCTTTTGAAAGAAAAGTTATGTTCATTCCCTATTGTTCTTCCAATCAATTACAAACAGAATCCTTTGCTTATCACTGTGGCTGTTGATGCCAGTGAATTAGAATGGGGAGGATGCATTATTCAGAAGCAATGAGAAGCTCAACATCCTACATGATATGAATCTGGAGTATGGAGTGATTCAGAGAAAACATATGATGCTGGCAAACAAGAATGCAGAGCTGTTTTAAAAGTCTTCAAGAAATTCCAACACCATATCTATAGAGTGCCCTTTACTTTGGAAATTAATGCAAAAACTCTTGTCACCCAACTTAATAGGACTGCTACAGATGTTCCAGAAGCTTTGGTTACCAATTAAATAGCTTGGATACACCTCTTTGACTTTACTGTTAAACATGTTCCTGAGACAAAACACACAGCTGCTGACAGACTATCTCACCAAGAACTAGATATTGGAGAATAGCCTGAATCTGAAGACAATAAAGATCTGTTTGCCTTTATGAATTCTATAAGAGTTTTAGCTGGCCAAGCTCTTGATAGTGAAGGCCTTAGGATACTAGACTCCACATATTCAGAAGAATTGGAGAAAATTGCACAATATCTAACCACTCTATCAAAACCATTGGGCATGGAAGGAAAAGAGTACATGAGATTCCAAAGAAAAGCAATTAAATATATGATGGAGGCTGATCAGCTATTTAGGCAAGCAGGATCTGGTGTGCCTCTAAGATATGTTGTGGACAACAAAGATCAGCACAAACAAATTTTACACATGATGCATGATGAATTTGGCCATAAAGAGCAAGAGAGAACATACTCTGCCCTACAAGCTTGATACTGGTGGTCAAAGATGTATAAAGATATGTCTGCTTATGTGAAGCACTGTTCTCAATGTCAACAAAAAGATTTGCAAAGATTGAGTGAAGAGCTTCATCCTATCTGAGCCTCTACCTATTAGGAGAAAGTTGGGGTGAATATCAAGCACATGCCTTTCTGTTGAAGATGAAATTATTTGGTTGTTGCCAGATGTAACTTCACTGGATGGATGAAAGCTAGAGTCTTGAAAAAGGCAACAGCTGAAGCTATGGCCAAATTTCTTTATAAGAATATTATCTGTTAATGGGGCCTGCCTGCCAAATTTGTTATGGATGGAGGACCAGAAAATAAGAACATTGTGAAGACCTTACTAAAGAAATTCAACATTAAATGCATTGTTGTTTCATCCTATAACCCTCCTGTGAATGGTATGGTGGAAGTTGGCCATAAGCCTTTGGCTGATGGGCTAGCTAAAGCTACCAATGGCACTGGAAGAGATTGGATTAAACATCTTCCTGCAATTCTGATGGTGGATCAAATGATGACTAAGGCTAGTACTGATGTTTCCCCTTATAGATTGCTAATAGGCCAGAAGGCAGTTCTTCTGATTGAACTTGAGATTCCTACTTGGCAAATGATTTCTTGATGAAAGGTTCAAACAACTGAAGACCTGCTTCTGATGTGAGCACAGCAAATTGAAAGATGAGATGAGAATGTCCTGAAAGCAACTCATCATCAGCTCTGAATGTGTGCTAAGAATAAGAAATACCTTGATGATACCCATAATATTTGGACCAACCCTCTTCTATCTGGAGACCTTGTCTTGCTTCACAATACCAAAGAAGAACAGAATATGTCTAGGAATAACATCCTGTGCTTTTGATGGCTAGAACTCTATAGAGTTAAGTCCACCAATCAAGAACTAGATTTCTATCATCTTGAAGAGTTAGACAGCACTGAACTCAAAGAATCTATTGCAGAAAACAGATTGAAGAAGTATCTTATAAAACCTGGAATGGAGCCATTCAATAATAGCCTAGCAGATTCTGATGTAGAGATGGAGAACATCTCTCAAAGATATGTCACCAGAAGTCAACCTAACATTCTCTCTAGCAGTTCCTCAGATGTTAGCTTCTTGGATCAGAGTGAAAATGAAAATGATCAAGGAGAAATAGAGCAAACACAATTTCCAACTGTTATACCAGATGACTGGAGCTTTGCTGTTGTTATACCTCCACAAGATGTTTAATTTGTTGTGTTTTGTTTGCAAAAGTGAAGTTTTTTGCTTGCTTATTCAGGAAGTTTCTTTTATTTGCTTGCAAAAGTGAAGTTTTTTGCTTGCTCTTTCAGGAAGTTTTTCTTTCTTTGTTATTTGCTTAGCATTCACTTTTTCTGGAGATATTTAAAGGTCAATTTTTCTGTGCTGGAGCTTTTACTTTCTTTTACATTTAAGCTTGATTCTTTTTACAGATTCAACATTTCATTTGCAAATTTTTTGATCCCTGATATTCTTCAAAAATGGCTGGATGAAGCAACCTGCCTCCTTTAGCACCAGCAACCAAAAACCAAGGCCTGGTTGTTACCAGAGACAGTGGGGTCAACTTGGATGGCGATTTCTTCAATAACCTAACAGCAGCTATAGAATACATCAATAATCAAGCTCCACACCACCACTATGGTCTGCAAGTCAAACTGATGAACACACTTATGCAAGTGACTGATGTGATTACTGACTTAGTGGCCCATTTCTATTGATATGTTGAAAGATCCAGAGCTTGGCAACATGTTACACACACCAATTTTGAAGCCAATTTCCATAATACTTGAAAGGTTACCCTAGATGTTGAATGATGTTGCATTAATATGCAAAAGATCAAGAATAGGCTTGTTGCTACATGGGGAATAGACAGGATTGATGCCATATGGCCAAAAGTGGAGAGCCTGTGGACTGCACAAAAGCTTTACCATATCTTAAATATCTACAAGAATTGGGATAAGTTTGCCAACAATATTAACAGTGCAGTGCTCCAAAGACTAGATGCTACAGGAGCTGGACATTGCCAGAGCTTAGCTATATTGCCAGGTGATGATACTACAGCTGATAAAGAAGTTGATTGTGCTTGCAAACTTTCTTCAAGAGATGCCCTACACTGATGAGAACTTACTATTGGAAACTATGGTCTTCTACAGCTATTGGCTCTTCCACAGTCATCTAGCTCCCAATGTTCAATTCAGAATATCACTAGAAGCCCTCCCACTGCAAGCAGCCCCTGAGGTCTACTAGAAGGACCACAGTCACCAAGATCACTAAGAGATATTTCAATAAGTGGAATGTCAATGCTGTATAGCTGCAATGTATTGGGAGCCTCTATACATAGTACAATGTTGATTAGATCACATGGATTGAAAACTAGTCAATCACAGCTGCTATTTGGATTCACCAGTGTGCTGGCTAATCCATCCAGCCAATCAGAAGCTTCAAAGCACCACAGTGAAAGAATTACAGTCATGTCAGCACACCAAACCCTTCAAGACCTAGACAATAAAGATGAGTCCATTATTTCTCCTGAAAGTGATGAGAAAATACCCCAACATGAATGAGAAGAATCTGTCATGACAGTATGCTCTGGTACTTGCCATTGCCATGATTTCAAACAGCAGCTTCTCCAAAAGATAAAGAGTACTAAAATGTGTTTGGAGTTAGAGCTTATTCACATCCTGAAGCAGTTAGGAAAGGCCTTTAGTGATAAGAAAGCTGACATCTATCTATACTATAATCATGCTAAACTAATGGCTTCAAAACTTGGTTTACAAACTTGCACACTTAATAGGGAGGAGCTTCTCAACTGTTTAGCTTACATCCATAGAAATCATTACAATATTAGCTCAGTCAAGACTGATGACAGCATCTACCTCTGGTTCCATTTGGCAAATAGACCAGCTAGAGCTGAAGATGCTTTAGATATTTACAAATTCAAACATCAGCCAATTATCTCTCTGGTCACAAAGATGAAGATCTTTGACTTTAATCAATACACATGAATAACTGGAGTTAACAAGTTCACCACTAGCAATCTTCAGAAGAAATGGGAAACAACTGGGTCTGTTGTCATTCTCCAGCTAATGCACTGATGGAATAATAAGTTACAAGACACCACCACCACAGTACTCACCTGGGTCAACAGCAAATATGACATATACTACCATCATCAGTGAATGATGGGAGGTCACAATAATTATGGATGGTTGAGAACAATATATCACAGTATTGGCCAACAACTTATACACCAGGACCCTGCATACTACCTATGATACATACTGACAAGACCCAATCACACTTAGAAATTGATCTCCTATCCATACTACATCAAGTATGCTAAGCCAGGGGATAAAACTGGGTTTTACCATATCAATGTCAATGTTTCAGATGCTATTACTACTGGAAGGGGCATTAACATGATACAAGAATTCTTGATCTTAACTGCAGAAGAGTCCAGCAACTTTACAGAAATCTTGCCAGGAATGCATAATCATCTAGAGAATTAGTGGAGACTAGTTGAAGAACAAGACTTATTTACTGATGGCTATGTTCACTGCATTAAAGATACAATGTATACCAAAGATGATAAAAGAAAATTTGGTATTAGATGGACCAACATCATTTGCAAACCTGGTGATGTCCAAATTACAAGCTCTCTGCTATCCCATAGAGCCCATGGTCCATGCAAAAAGATCCAACACACTATGCTATTCTGGTATGTGGCAATTCAAGAGGACCATGAACATCTAGAAGTCAATAAAGCTGGTACATGGTTCCAGCTCTCCACTGCATATAGAGATCTAGTTCCAGGGCCTTTGTCTCCATCCAGTCATTCAAATTGTTATGCATTGGTTCCATATTGATTCCCTACCACTATTCAATTACAAGGCTTAGAAGCTATATCAGATGCTCTGGTAGGACAAATTAGGTGGAACAACCCCATGGTAATTAAGAAACTTGATATTCTCTTTGGCCCTGATAACAAAAAGACTCAGGACTTCATTAATAACTGGCACCTAAAGATCATGTGAATTACTCTAGATGCCATTGTCAAGACTTACCAAATTGAAAAGAAAGCTTTTGGTAATAAATCCTATTGGTATTGTGTGCACAACAACATTGACTCAGTGTCAGTTCAGCCTTCTCCTTCTTCTGAGAACTTGGTGGAAGAAGAGAATCATGATGATTACTATTAGGAATTGCTGCTATCACTCTTCTTATTCTTATTTTCTATGTTTTTCCTTACCAGACTGCTCATTACTATTTATTATTCTCTTATTTTACTAAATTGGTTTTATTTTATTTTATATGTTGCTTGTTGTCAGGGGACACCAACTTTGAAGGCCAGGAGAAAATGTAGTGGGGATTCCAGTACCTCATTAGGACAAAGATTGTTCCAGTCTGAGGCACAAACCACTCCAAGCTACTATTCTTGAGGTATATAAACCATCTGTAGCTCCTGCTTCTTGCTTATTACCTTCACACACCATGGCTCTTTTCTACACACTCATTCCTTACTACCAGTTCAGTTATTAGTTAGAGAATATGAAGATTTCTTGTTTATGAAACTTGCTACTGTTTCTCATTAGAGCTGCCTGTGTTAGTACAGGGCTCTTTAGTACTATTACTTCTTGCAAGCTTAGGCATCTGTTAGAACATATCTATCTCTACACTTACTACTCAACCATACTTTTACTATGTGGTGATTTTTCACCTTTCTTGTGCTCTCACCATATCAACCAACTCGCCTACCTTGACAAGGCATCCCATTGTACCCCGTTCCAGTATATTGCTAGAAATAGAAGATTTAACTAGCAGTGTAGAGGCTTGAGCAGTTTCAAATTAGTGTAGTTAATATTAAAAATCCAGAGAATTAATTTCAGTCTTTGCAAAGCTAGCAAGTATATTTTTAACTATTAAAGTCTTCTTTCAAGCTATATTGAATAATCTCCAGAAATCCCTTTTTGTTACTTAAATATAACTTATTTCTTGATGTAGTAGTGCTTCCAGCTTATTGGAATATGCCTTGCCCAGCAGCTTAAAGATTTTAATATTAAGAGATTACAAACAGTAGATTGAATGCAGCAGAAGAATTATAAGAAGAATCTTTTTATAATCAGTATATTTAATAAATTTCATATTTATATAAGAGAAATGCTTATTTAGTAGAAGCAGATATCTTTCTCAATCAGCTTGTTTCTTAGTATACTGATTGAAAATCTGTTTCAATTACTTCAGTCTATATTTATTATTGCTTTAACTATTTATTGAAGCTGTAAAGTAGACTTATTTGCTTCTATTATAATTATCTAGCTATATATTCTGAAGATCTCATAATTTGTTCTGATAAATAAGAGCTAGAGATAGTGTAATTTCTTTAGCAGAGACTAAGTAGAGCAATAAGAGAAATTCTTAACTACTATTCTGGATGGCAGCATTCTTTTCAGCTTGTAAAGCTTTAATAGAGACTAATTACTTTAAGATATAACAGAAGTCTAGAAGAAATTCTTTTTCATTAAAGTTATAGATGTTTGAGAGCTCAAGATTATATTAATTAATTTTCTGCTCCAACTACTTTATAAGTAGTAGTTAAATAGTTAGCTAGCATCAATAACTGCAATCACAAGTAATCAAATAAATCATTAAATTACAAGTATATAGAAGTGCTTAAAGCACTGATAGTTATCTGCTATCTGTCTATTTTAATTAATTGCTTTGAGATAAATGTATTTAATCTTGTTATTATGCTACTTATAAAATTAATTAATTTAGTTGATTCCAATATTCTCTTCTGTTATTTCTTGTACAATATTTTATAGAATCTGAGATGTAATGACAAGACCATAGCTAGAGAGCTTATTTATATAATTCAGAAGCTCTGTCTTCTGTATATTAGAGAGCTTTTTCTTATATCAGAGAACTACTTCATTCTGAGCAAGTTGCAAGCCTTTATACTATCAGCACAGAGTCTCTCAGTTAACTGAGTACTTTCTTATAATTGCAGCATAATTTAGGTCTCTTGTAATTCAAGATCTTTAATTGCAAGCCTAATTGAGACATTGTTGATCATGTTGTTGCATATTAAATGTTAAACATTGGAGGAATTTTAGTGGTAGAAGATTTAGCTTATTTAGTGGTGTGGCTTGCTTAGTGGTGAACTATCTTAAGCAAGCCACACCATTAAACAAGCTAAATCTTCCACCACTAAAATTTCTCCAATGTTTAACATTCAATATGCAACAACATGATCAACAATGTCTTAATTAAACTTGTAATTAAAGATCTTGAATTGCAAGAGATCTTAAATTACATTATAACTGTAAGAAAGTACTTAATTAATCAAGAGACCTTGTGCCAACAGTATAAAAACTTGCAACTTGCTCAGAATAAAGCAGTTTTCTGATATAAGAAAAAGCTTTCTGATATACAGAAGATAGAGCTTCTGAATTATATAAACAAGCTCTCTAGCTGTAATCTTGCCATTACATCTCAGATTCTACAAAATATTATACAAGAGATGATAGAAGAAAATATTACAATTAACTAAGTTAATTAATTTTAGAAGCAGTATAATAACAAGATCAAATGCATTTATCTTAAAATAATTAATTAAAATAGACAGATAGCAGATAACTATCAGTACTTTAAGCACTTCTATATACTTGTAATTTAATAATTTATTTAATTACTTGTAATTACAGTTGTTGATGCTAACTATTTAACTATTACTTATGAAGTAGTTGAAGCAGAAAATTAATTAATATAATCTTAAGCTCTCAAATATTTATAACTTTAATAAAAAAAAATTTCTTCTAGACTTCTGCTATATCTTAAAGTAATTAGTCTCTATTAAAGCTTTACAAGCTGGAAAGAATATTATTATTCAGAATAGTAGTCAGAAATTTTTCTTATTACTTTACTCAGTCTCTGCTGAAGAAATTGCACTATCTTCAGCTCTTATTTACTAGAGTAAATTACAAGATCTTTAAAATATATGGCTAGATAATTATAATAGAAGTGAATAAGTCTACTTTACAGCTTTAATAAATGATTAAAGCAATAATAAATATGAACTGAAGTAATTAAAACAGGTTTTTAATTAGTATACTAAGAAACAAGCTGGTTAAGAAAGATATTTACTTTTACTAGATAGGCATTTCTTCTCTATAAATATGAAATTTATTGAATACACTAATTGTAAAAAAATTCTTCTTATAATTCTTTTACTACATTCAACTTACTGTTTGCAATCTCTTAATATTAGAATCTTTAGACTACTGGGCAAGGCATATTCTAATAAGTTGAAAGCATTACTATATCAAGAAATAAGCTATATTTGAATAATAAAAAGAGATTTCTGAAGATTATTCAATACTTAGCTTGAAAGAAGACTTTGACAGTTGAAAATATACTTGCTGGCTTTGCAAAGACTAAGATTAATTCTCTAAATTCTCAATATTAACTATACTGATTTGAAACTGCTCAAGCTTCTATACTGTCAGTTAAATCTTCTATTTCTAGTAATATATACCAGCTTTAATAAGAGATTAAGAGTATATATCTCCAGCACAGCCTAAATTTACAAAGTATTAAATAAATTATTCAAGTTAGTAAGCAGTTTGCTCTTCATAATGAACTACTGAAACATAAGAATCAGTATCTAAGATTAACTCTAGTGATGAAGAAGCAATATCACAAGCAAGATAAGCTTCTAGATCTACTTAATAAAGATAATTCTAGTTAAGCACAGTTCTGATCTTCAATAAAAGTTCTTAAGACATGTGAGCATCTGAATGAAATAGAGACTGAAAAAGCTGATAAAATTACTTAAAATATAAGAGATAAAACTTCAACAAAAGCTTTAAAAGAAGCAAACTGCTAGAAATATTAAAAAAAAACAGATTGAACAGAAGAATACTTATAAAAAGACTCAGAAGTAACAAGAAACTGAAAAAAATCAAATATACTAGATAAAGAGAGACATAATATATTACTTATAAGAAGAAGAAGACTTTATAACTAGCAGAGAAGAAAAAACAAACAGTTAAACACACTAATAAATATCAGTAGTCAGGGCTTTAAGTACCAGCTTCAAAGCACTATCAGAAGAACTTCTTTACTAAAGAGTCTCATTACAGAGAGTCTATATAATCTTCTAAAAAAGAAAGTAAGAGCTCTACAAGCATCTCTAGCAAGATATTAGGCTCTCTAGCCAAGAAATCTACTGTTGATATTTCTTTGAATTCTTTTCTATCTACCCCCTGAATCTCTTGCTCTGGCCATAATATTAGGCCATCCACTTGTTTATTTTCCTAACTATACTAATTTCTATGCTTTAAAGAATACATTCATTTAATATTTAATAGCTATTTAATAATAAAGATCTGGTTGTTGAGATATTTAATAAATTTGTTGTGTGGAGCTTTTGGCGAAATTTGGCTCGTTTAGTGGTGTGGCGCGTTTAGTGGTGAACTACCTTAACTGACCAGTTGAGATTATTGGAGTACCGGTCGGCTATTCAGCGTCCAGAGACCCAGATGCTTCCGACTCTCGGCTAATCCCCCTACTGCATATTAACCAGGGACATGACACGGCAGGCTCTGCACCTACAGCTCTGCTCCGGCTCACTACACCGTCGGGGTAGTTAGTTAATTTCTGAATTGACCCCTTACCGCCCCATACCCAGGCCAGTTGTCCTCGAGTCGTGAACGATGCCCTTGCCCCAGGAGTTCGCCGTGTCGGACCATCCACCTGCAGACGCTGTGATCAGACACGTCCTTGCTCCAACCACCCGCAAAACGCAGCTTGTGGTTCTCATCTCTAGCTTTTTGACTGTGATCATGACCATTGGCCCGAATCTCTCTTATGGCGTGTTCCAGGAGTACTATGTGACCAATTCTGGGACGCTTCTGCCTCCATCAGAGGCCAAGAATCGAGGCGCCGTGGCTCTTGTCGGGACCGTTGGAGCAGGCCTGACGTGGGCAGGATCCATATTCGTGAATCCCCTGATGACCAGAGTTAGGGGGAACGCAAACCGAAACATTACCCTAGCTGGCTGCTTCTTGATGAGTCTGGCTTATGGCCTTGCCGGCTCGTGTGATCGTGTAAGTAGTCCGCCCAATCCCTTGGCTGAGATATCACTATATGACCCTTGGACACTTCATATGCTTGTCTCTTGACGCTTCCGGCAGCTTTGGCAGCTTGCTTTGACCCAGGGCCTCATGTACGGTCTTGGGAGTTCAATGCTCTACTTTCCCCTCCTCAGCATCGCTCCTGAATACTTTGATCAACACCGAGGGCTCGCCATGGGCTTCATCTTGAGCGGAGCGGGCGTCGGTGGGTTGATCCTATCACCAACCGTGCGCATTCTGCTCGATAATTTTGATGCCCGATGGAGTCTACGAATTTTAGCCCTGGCAAATCTCGCCATCACGTTCCCAATTGCTTTCTTTGCTCCACCTAGCCGCAGCACCATAAGAAGGCCGACTTTAGTCAATCCGGCCATCGTCAAGAAGCCCGCTTTTATTCTCCAGTCGTTTGCAGCCTTGCTTCAAGCTAGCGGCAACTTCGTGCCGATGACCTTTCTTCCGGAATTCTCCACGGTGCTCGGCTATTCGGTCTCATTTGGCGCGACACTGCTTGCTATAAACAATGGAGTCAACGCCGTCTCGAGGTACTAATGGGTTTCGCTGCAGACAATCTCGGTCGCCAAAACACCCTCGTGCTCGGTGTGATCGGAAGTGCCGTGAGCGTTTTGGGTCTGTGGTTGGCGGCAGCCAACACAGGGGACAAAACCTTCTGGGTTATGTTTGTGGTGATATACGGGATATTAGCAGGTAAGAGGAAAACCATCCAAGCATCGGCCACTTTATATCACATACTGAACCCAAGTCTCGCAGGGGGTAAGTGAATCAACAGATACAGCCCTTCTTTTTAGGTTCATACAGATATGATCAACGCCATTCGTAGGATACAATGCCCTATTTCCCACAACTGTGACTGACGTCTTCGGCGTACACGCGTATGCTTCCGTTAATGGCTTTCTCTACTTTATTCGAGGCCTCGGAGCCATGTTCGGTTCACCGGTTGGCGGCTTGATCCTGGGAAGCTCTCGAACCTTGCTTCCTAGCGAAGATACAGCACGTCTTCTTAAAGATTATCAGAGATTGATTTGGTACGATGGGGCACTGCTTGTGGGATCATCGCTATGCGTCATTGGCGTCCGGGGATTTGACGCGTTGGAGAAACGAAGATGGGCCTGGAAAGCTTGAAGCATTTAGCCTCTCCTACCAAGCTCCTTTGTGAGATGGATTTCCTCGCGGTTTCGATCCAGGTATCTGCGGGTAGGATATTGAGATTACTCAATTTATTCATGAAGCACTGAAGGGTAATTCTCAGAGTTTTTACGGAGTAGTTAACGATCGAAGGAGTGGGATAATCTTGGTGACGAAAAAGCGGACGGATGGAGAACCGGATGGCTAAATCGCGGGTCATCAGATAACTACTCCGTAACTCGTGAACTAGTTAAATAGTTAAACCAGCAGTTCCATTTCGGCCTACAGAGTACTAGCTAGTTAATTGAACGATTGACTATGTAGTTATGTTTCACAGTTCCGAGCGACTGGAGGGGTTTCCGTTCTCGAGAAATTTGAGATGTCCATTTTGCGTCCACTGCGAATCGCGTTCTGGTTGACAAGCTAGTTATTGAACTAACTACTTAACTAACTAGTTAACTCTGCTACTCCCGTAACGACACTAACCAAGTCATCATTGGCTGATGATGCCATGCGAGGATGCGATGGATGCCATGATCGCTTGTGGCAGTGCTGTTCTGCTCTCACGGCCTCAACTTTCATTGATGGCCTGGGGATTAGCACCACCATGGGACAGACCTCAGCATCCGTGTGAATCCTGCGCGCGTTGTATTAGTTAACTAGTTAACTCCAGCTTCTTGTCAGGAATCAGAAACCGGCGCCACTGTCATTCCCACCATTGGGCCTCATCACAACATTTCCCCCCGCCTTCTCCAGCACTGGCGCTCTGGCATCACTGAGTGGCCGCGACGATATCCGATGGCGGCGGGGTTTGGCTTCTCTGTGGGCGACATGATCGCGGGTCTCAAATTCATCTATGTTTCCTGCGAGGCCCTCAAGTGTGCATCAGCCTCCCGAATGGAGTATCTTGCCCTTCGAACCGAGATCCAATCTCTCCTAACCGCCCTCGAGGCCATTGACGATCTTGACCTGGAGTATCGTGGCACCGAAAAGCAGTGGACTGCCGTCAACTCTTCGATCTCATCGTGCAAAGCATGCATAGACGACTTTCTGGCAAAAACCTCAAAGTACGAGCCCTATCTGCAGGACGGCGCAAAACGCGGATGGGCGGCTGGATACAGGAGGATCAAGTGGGCAATCTGCAAGAGGGAGGACGTTGCGCAGTTTCGGATGCAGTTGGAGAGACACGCTTCCTCAATCAACATGCTGCTTATTACGTTCCAGGCACATGCCGCCGACAAGCCTCGGGATGCCCGGACTGCTGGTGGGATGGCGATCGTGGCCCGCCCTGGCACAACAGACGATGAGAATATTACAGCACTCCTCAAAGGACTCACATTGGAGCAACGGCAATTCTTCCAACTGCTACTCACGCAAAACCGACAGCTACAGCAGAGTCTAGACGACATTCGCCACCTCGTGCGCCTCCAGACGGAAATTCCTCCGCAGGTGACGCTTCAAAAACCGGTCATACTGCTTGATGCGTTTGGAAAAACTGCACCTTTCCACCTCGACTTCATCGACTCTCTGGATGCCTTTGTGGCCGTACTGAAAATCAGATCCGAACAAGCCGGTGTCCGAATGGGTGGGCTAAAGAAACTAGACAGGCGAGAATTCTGTATAAGAGACACCCAGAGACGGAGAAGCCTCGACTTGAATCGCCCATGGACGAAGATTTTTCGTCCTGGACAGAACGTCGATATGAGCATGGTATTTCGGCGGCGTCTAACTCCAACGATTTGTCCCGAATGCGGCTGCCAGAATGACCCTTGCGTGGAGGACGGCGAGATCGAATGGTAAAGTTTTGCTGAACACACCCTTGGGTTCTTTTTGATCGTTCGATGCAAATTTGCTGGAATGACCGGTGAAATAACTAACTCGGGCTCCAGTGGGTTTTGCGGGTTGTGGTATCATCATGTCCGAGAGGAACCGCATGCCCAGCCCCTTCTTCCACCAGAGCCCGATCCGGCGCCATTATCGCGGACGGTGACGGCGAGATCGTCAGAGGTTGATTCTTCAGAATTGGATGTGCAAGAACCAAAGTTTGCTGGATTTCGCCGTGTTCGCATAATCTCATTGCTATTGAACCCTTCAACTGCGAATAAACGCTCGCAGGACGTTAAACCAGGTACGTATTCGCTATTCGTTTAGCTCGTCATTCGAGCATCGATCGTGTAACATCATCTAGACGCCCTCCGCGACCTTTCCATTGCACAGCGCTCCCCGCTGAATATGGAGGATGAACCACGACAAAGCTATACCCGTTCCCCTCCACAAAAGAAGCGAAATATCCGAATGCAGCCGCCATTTCCCAAAACACCAAAGCAGAAAGCTCACCGATCGAGTCTAAAGGGAGAGAGGCTGCAACTTCGCCACTTCGCGGAAGACCCCTATGCTTCAGGTGAGGATAGTAGCTCGAGAAATAATCCGTTAGAAAAAAAGTTTCGATCTCACTGCTGGGCGAAGCCGGTTTTCTCACATGTCAGCGAGGAAGAAGGCACTCTTCGCCCTCGATCGCTGTCAGCACATGGCCACCAAAATCAAGAGCAAACATTGGATGCCGAAGACCATGATGGTCGTCGCGGTTTAGATTGCGATATTCCTGGATTCCGGATGGTGTCTCCTGTGTCGCAGCACTTACGACTTCATGATGCCAAATATGAACCAGCCATCACAAGGAGGCGAGAGGAAGTTCAGTGGACTCTGATAGACTCATGGATACGATGACTTTTACAGGAAAGTCTTTGTGTAGATATAACTTTTGATACCCCTTTTCCATTCAAAAAGCAAGGAGAGTTACGTTGCGCTCCCCGTTTTTGTTTACTTTATCGGAAATTTGCCCCGACCTGTTGTCCCACTCTTTCTTCAGATGCACGTATGATATGGGCCCAGCAATAGCATTGTGTATCTTACCCTTGGGACTATTCCTTGCCCTGCACCGTTAATTGCTGTTCAGTTGGTGGGGGGCGGATGAGAAGCATGGGACAGTACGCACAATAACTAATGATCATCCCCACATTGAGAAGGACACATGCCTGTAACTAGTTGGACAGATAGCGTGGCCTTCAGTCTCTGACTGCATAAGGCCTACGAAAAATATGATATACACGCACACACACACACACACACAATACCTAATGATCATCCTGCTGGATCATAGATAATCTGCCATCGAAAAGGGCGCATGCTATCGCTAAACAGGGGTATCAGGGGCTAACTGGAGGACTAGGCGACATATATATCCATACACCGAGCTGGCCTCAACGTGTGATGAAGCAAAAAAAAAAAAAAAAAAAAAAAAAAAAAAAAAAAAAAAAAGAGAAAAAAAAAAGAAAAAAAAAGAAAGAAAATTGACTCACGATCTGATCGGAGGTTAACCAACTAGCTAGCCGGTTGAGCGTGGATCTGGGGAGCTTTGAACTTGAATTACCCAATTACAGTTGTTCTTCTGTGAACCCGCAACTCTGCGGCTTTAAAACTGTGGATTCAGAGGCGCCATTTATGCCGGAAGCGGCATGGAGTTCTCGGGCGAAGGGCGCGCCTTTTCTGACTCTGACAAGGCCCACACCCGTCCTTGCGGTCATTGATAAAAGAGCGCATTGTTGAATAATGCCCTTTGATAAATCTAAAAATAAAAATAAAAATAAAAATAAAAAAAGGGAACGAGTCAAGATGAGTTGAATGGAAAAATTGACTGCAAGTCGAAAAGTGCACCCAAGCGGGAGAGATGGGAAGAAATGCATTAATATGGATTGTGTCTATAATAACTGAATATGGAGAGCATCTTGAATGGCGAGTGAAAACTCCCTCCATCTAGCCGTTTTCCCACATTCTAACACCACGGATAGACAAGGTAGCCTATCTTTCAAGGAGTTCGTCTCCGGGTCTCAGAACCAGGGATAGACCGGCAATTAGAAGAGGAAGTACATGATACGCTTGATGAGGGCGGCGTTTCTCCGCTTCTCCATCATAGCGTTATGCGCTTCCCAATCGATCTCACGACGGCCGGAATCGACATCGATCTGGCTAAGTTTGAGCCATCCTTTTCCTTTCCAGAAATAGCCACAAGCCCAGAAGAACAGCACCACAGGCATAGCAAGATAGGACTTGAAGAAGCCCTCAGCATTGTTTACGCCACCACCCAGCGGCCATACGGCGGTATAGAACTGAGATCTGAGTTAGCAATGCCGAAACAGAGAGAAGAGACACTCGACTCACCTGCGCAATGAGGACGATAATGACGAGGGTAAGACCGATCCAAGAACCCACAACCCCAAGGGCGGCTTTGAAAGGAAGCTCATCAAGAGTGTGTCCATGGTACTTCCACGCGCTTCTGAAACGGATATGGGCCAAGCAAATCTGTTCAAATCGCTGTCAGCGCCGCGATGTTCTTCGCAAGTCTGAATGACAAAAGAGAAGGGGGAACTTACACTGCCCCAGGTGAATAGCGCGGCAAGACCGGACAGCGCCTGAAGCCAATCGAAGATTTCCGCACCACTGGCGCTGAGATTGACATAGGCGAGTAAAGAGAAAGCGATAAGGAAGATAGTAGAGTAGAGTGGACGTCCGGCGCGGTCAACATATGCAAACATCTTTGGCGCGTATCCTTGCTCGGCCAGAGCAGTCAGGGTACGAGATCCACCATAGACGCCAGAATTTCCGATAGAGAGGACAGAGATGAGAATAATGACGTTCATGAAGCTGTCGAAGCCATCAAGCCCGGCATCTTTGGCCGCAATAACAAAAGGCGAAGCCGTGACATCAATCAATCCCGAGCCCAGAAGACGCTCATCGTTGGAATCGACAAGGAGGCCGACGAAGAACAGACCAAGGATATAGAAAAGGGTGATACGCCAGAAGACCTGCTTGATAGCAGAGGGGAGAGACTGGACGGGGGTCTTGGATTCTGCGGCAGCCAAACCGACAAGCTCGGTCCCAGAGAAGGCAAAGGCGGCGGTGACGAAGACGGAGCACACTCCTGCAAGAAAAAAGTTGTCAGCATCTCAACAGAAGAAGGGGGGGAGGCGGCGTGCCGGTGACAGGACAGCCACATACCCTTGAACCCATTCCTAAACGCTCCTGGGTCGTACCACAAACGTGCACCCCAGTACTCGCCATACTTGCCGTGGCTTGGGCCACCGCCCAAAACGCAGACAAGGGCGATCAACATGAAGATCACGACGGCGGCAAGCTTCAGGCAACTTGACCAAAACTCCTCTTCACCATAGCCAAGGACACCGAAAATGTTGATCAAAATGATAGCGATGATGAATACCGTGATCCAGACACCAACACTGACATCTACCTGCCAATAGCCAATCGTCAAGCCGGCGACCGTCAGTTCAAGCGGTAAAACAATGGCCCACTGGAACACATAGTTCCACCCCATGGCGAAACCCCAGGACGGGTCAATAAACCGTGTCGAATACGTATAGAAACCACCGGAGACAGGATACATAATCGCAAGTTCACCAAGTGCGAAAACCACGTTGAACATCATCTGGAGATTCGCAAAACGCGGGTCAGCAGGCATCGTTTTGGTTCTGCGACGCGCCGAAGTACTTACCACGCCGATAATCATAAAGTCAATGATCAGAGTTGCAGGGCCGCCATCGTGAAGGGCACTTCCAGAGCCGACAAACAAACCAGCACCGATACTTCCTCCAATGGCAATCATATGCAGATGTCGGCCCTTGAGGGTTCTGTTCAGCTGGTTGTGCTTGTCCGCAAGCGTTCTTTGCTTGAACGACTCGGGTGTGCAGCCCATGCGGGTCCAGAAACCCAGCTGTTCCTGGTTTTCTATGGCATCGCGGGCATCCTCGCTCGACTCATAGGCGGGAAGGTTACTCTGATCGTTGCCAGCGACAACGATACCCTTCTCGCTCTTGTCCATGGTGACCGTCGAGGGTGCAACGATGGCACCGCAGCAAGGGTGTGAGAGGTGGCCTGATTCCAAAAAAGAAAAAAAAAAGAAAAGTAAAAAGAAAAGCGGAGGTTGTTATATACAAATGGCGGGGAGGGGAAGGGGAGAGGGAGGACAGGACAAGAGGAACGAGCAAGCAAGAGAGAAGGGGAAAAAAAAAAAAAAAAAAAGGCCGGGAGCGGGAACGGAGTGCGTGTCAGGTTGATATAATAATATTTTGGAACAATCGACAAGAAACCCGAGCGATTCTCCCAATCTCGAGTCCAAAGCGGGTGCCCCTGGGATTAGACTGGGATAGGAGAGTACAGGAAGAGGATCCCAGCCCGACAAAAACTGGGGTCTGATGCACCTTGATATGGAAAGCCGCAAGCAAATGCCAAGTACGCCGTGGGTGAGTTTTTGATTGACTTTTTGACGTTGAAGCCGGAACTTGAAAAAGCGCTTAAATCAGTGCCAATGTCCAGCGGTGCAACCCAAGATCACGTCGGCGAATAGAGTACATAGTCCAGAGTACTTTGGTCTCTCGGAAAAGCCCAAGGATACGCGAGAAGCTGGCAGCTCGGCCACGCGATTGGAAGAGGTGCTCCTAGGCTAACCCGACAGTCAGGAGTTGGCGTGATAATGTAGCTTGACGAGGCGACAACCTGGCCCTGGTCGCCACATATCTCGCAGCCACCTCGCGACGGCCCATGAAGAGGAAATACTGTCACAATCTAGAGACCTTGGGGGGGGGGGTAAAAGGAATACATGGGTGGAACCACCCCCCCCCGCTGCTTGCTTGCGGAGAAAGCCAACAACTGGTCGCAAACCCAACCATGTTATCGGCCCACGATCAGGGTTGGCAACTCAAAAAAGAAAAAGGTATCAAATGACGGGTCGAGGAAATTGACCGGGACTGACGAGAGTCGCTGGTGCCATGCAGATCCCTTCTGGAAGACTCTTGGCTTCCCTGATCACGGATCCCCGCCCTCTTGGGCCTGCGTGCTGGATCGCGGAGAAATAAGGATGTCCAAGACGAAATGCGGTGTCACATACGGAGTACAAAGAAGAAGTTGACGCAGACCGAAGAAAAAAAAATGTCCCGAGGCGGAGCTTGGTCCTCTCCTTTTCTTTTTGCTTTTCTCGTTTTTTAATTTTTTAATTTTTTTTTTTTTTTCTAAGTTCAACCCAACAGTGAGAAGCCAGATACACATTCAGGTGCTTTTGTAAGGTCTTTTTTTTTTTTTTTTTTTGTGTGTACGGAGTACTCCGTATACTTTGTTCTTATTTTTTATTTTTCATTTTCTTATTTCGTTTTTTTGCCTTTTCACTTTCCGTGGGTGGGATGGAATGGCTTAAGATTAGCATTTTGCAGGGTGTGAGTTTTGGGTATGATTCTCCTGATTCGAGGTGGGCTGGTCAATCAACGCCTTCTTGCTGGCCCTCTCCCAACACGCTCTGCGCAAACCCCGGACCCCCCCCCCCGGGCGCAGGGAAAAGAACATCTGATTTGAAAAATAAAATAATAAAAAAAGAAAAGAGAGAATGAGACGTCTCGAGCGTAAAAGACGAGAAGCGCCCCTGATAGGCTCAGCCCCAACAAGCCGCCCGCCGCAGAGCGGAAGGCGGGGAACGAAAACAGCACGCTGATTGGCCAATATGCGAGGATAAGCCCCAACTCTATCTTCATTAGCGTTTTTCCAGAATCCTTCGGGGAATGTTCCACGCTAGTCCCGAAACGTCGTCGCCACCGCACTGGTGTGGCTTGGCGCGCCTGTCACTTTTCTTTTCTTTTTTTTTTTTTTTTTTTTCCTTTTTTTTTTGGCTCTCACGGAACGGCGCGAGGAGCGGGTTAGGGCGAAAATAAAATTTTAAAATAGAAAAAATAAAATAAAATAACATAAAATAAAAAGAGGAGGGGCAAGCAAGCAACGGAGAGAGTACGAAGTACAAGATGTTGGTCACCAATCATTGGAAGGTTAAGGGGTAATTGGGAGGGCGGGAAGAGGAAGAGAGAGGGGGCCGTTTCGTTCGTCGGGAGATAAAAACAGAAATGCGAATGCCAGGAAAAGCTTTCTGGGAGATCACCAATGATCCTCGGCCGCTGAAGACCTGACAGCGCGGTGGCACGACTTGTCCTGCATCCGTTCTTCAGCCCTAGCGTGGCGTGAGCATTTTCACAGCAATCGGACATTTCCTACGGATGCGTAGCTCCCAATAGTGAACTAATCAGGATGGCGTTTCAGAGACCAAAGGCTAGCATTAACAGATAGAGAGACAGACAGACAGACAGACGGACTAGTTGGCGCCCTCTGTCCCCCCTTCCCCCGAAGTACTCCGTAGTGTGTGATAATGGACAGGAACTACTCCGTGCAGACATCGACCTTCCTTCTACTAGCACCCGTATTCGGACCTGTCCAAATTCCCGAGATTAAACTAATGGCTATTACTTGAGAGAAAATCACCGCGGTTTCATCGAGAGCGTGGAGTGAGGTCGAGCACCACCCGAGAGAAGAGTGTGTGAAATACAGACTTGGGCGTTGGTGGGATTGACAAGCTCAATCGCCGTAATTTGCTCCAGGGTCGTTTCGTCGCAAGGATCTATCCTTCTACATTCAGGGACGTATGGATGTATGGATGTGCTTTTGCTCTGCGGCGGATTCTGCCCTTGATATTCCCCGACCAAATGCTTGGTCAGGTGCCGCTGCGATACGGTTCGGGTATTTTCGTCTTGCAGCTTGAATGAAGCAGTTATAGAGTTGGGGCGTCTGCATGCTCCGATGTATCTTTGGTCTGGAACATAAAACAGGCAGCTCCATAGACACACACACACACACACCCCCGGGGGGCGGCGCTGATAACATCGGTCTATTTGACGAGAAACCCCAGTCCGCTGGGACTGCCTGGGAGATGAATTACATATGCTTTTTGCGCATAATTTCGCCAGCCTGGATTGGCGCAAGTATCAGCGCCCGCTTTCATGAGCGGCCGGGTCTTGGGTTACATGGGGAAGATCCCTCTGTTCGTTAGTTTCAAACTCTGCGCTACGAGGCCTTGGCGGCTTCGCATGGAGAGCGACCGTCTGCGGGGGTGAAGTGAAAACAGGGCCAAATGTCAACATCACCACTAACCCAATAACAATTCAAGAGCAAAAATCCAAGCTGATAACAGACGAACTAAGTCACTGCATTCTGTAGCAGAGGTTCTCGTGGATAATTGGCCAACCATCGCCCAGGCACATCTAGAGAGGGGGAGAGAGAGAGAGAGAGAGAGAGTGTGTGTGTGTGTGTGAGAGAGAGAGAGAGACATCACTAACCTCTGCGAGAAAACAACAGCTGTGTGTCCAGGACCCCGTGGCCTCTCTTACTCGTGAACGGAATTAGAATGGGGTTGGTGCAGGCGGGGAGTGAATGGATCGAGCCACTCCTCCTCCGTAACCCGCCTCCAACCGTGGAGCGGCGAAGAAGGCGAGGAAGTCGAGCATCCCGTTCCCTCGCTGAGCCATTTGAACTTCGAAGCTCCACGCTTGGCAGTCTGGGCAACGTCCGTCTCGCGGAGCCGGGATTGGACTTGGAGGGTACGGGATGCGCATCTGCCCACCTGCACTCCACCTGGCGAATGCCAGCAGCAAGGTTGCCGTCGGCGTGCCAAAAAACCAAAAAAAAAAAAAAAAAAAAAAAAAAAAAGGGCACAATAATTGCGTGCTCGCTTTCTCTGAAGCTCCTCCCCACAACCCACCTCACCTGCGCCGGCGGGACCACTCGAAAGCGAGAAAGAAGCGAAAACAAGATAACCCCAGAATCCGGACGGAGTCCCATTCTCCGCAGCCGTTGGTGGCCAGATGGAGCTCCCTTTCCCCAGGACCCGATCCGCTCCACACAACGGCGAACCGAGGAGCTTCACCTGGGTGGAATGTCGTGATCGTCACGAGAGTCGAGACTTGGCCGTGCGCCCACTTACCTATGACTATCGCGGGAAAAAAGCTCCAATAGGTATTGTTGGCTCGCTGGTTATCCTAGGCTGGCTGTGTATCTACATTGTGCACTGACAGTTAAATCCATATCTACAATTTTTTTCTTTTTTTTTTTTTTTTAATTTTATTTTATTTTATTTTATTTTATTTTATTTTTGGCATGCATATCCAATTTCACACGCCGCTCACTGCGAGCGAGGACCATGCCAATTCGGCTAACAAACGACTGGCCTGGCAGCCGTCCTCCAACGGGGCCATGGGCTTGGGGGGGTGTGGACGCCAAAGCGGCCAATAATGATTCACATAATCGCATCGGATTTCTGTTGGAGCATGTGATTGTCCTGCCGGCGATCCCTTGTAACTAACCTGGAACCGAAGAATAGGGAGAAAGATGTGCCGTTTTCTGGTTTCGATTACTCACTCTCATTTCCAGCGCTACAAGGGTGGTGGCAGCGGCAGCTTGAAGAAAAAGGCATGACTACTCGAATGATTCCTCCTCCTGCTGAAGGTTACCAGCCCTCTGCTTTGTTTCTCGGGGTTTATTAACACGGTGCTGGCCGGCTCCGCTCCAGTAATGTTAGCGACAGTATGGACTCTGTACGGAGTACAGAGTGTTGTTCAGTATTACTTGCGTATTATTTGATCCCTGCAGGCGATCGGTGCTTGAAGGCGTTTGATCAGCAGATGAAAGGCCACATGAATGATTCATCATCCATCTGTTGCCCGTTGCGGATCTCCAGCAGCTCGACTCCGTTAAAGAAGGAAAAGGAAAAAAAAAAAAAAAAAAGCCCGGAGAATAATCGCAAGCAGTGTTCAGGTTTGCCAAAGAGGCGATTTGGGCTTCACCCTGCCTATAGATCCTGCAATATGAAACAACCGACAGGATCACGCTGGATTCGCCATGGACCATCCACACCGTTTAGGCATCACACAGGAATCTTCGTCTTCGTTAGGGGAGGTAAATGAGAGCCACCTGCTCCTCCTCTTCTCTGCTCATCACCTCCTGCTGACCGCACTGTTGCACCGGCTATGGCCTCAGTGGAAGATTCGAGAAGAGGCCCAGCAAATCCAACTGAAGAAATCCCTTTTCGATGGCACAAATGGGGTTGTTTAACTAACAATGGCCACATGGCGTACAGCAACGGCAAAGCCAACTGCTTCCCCGTGCATCGCAGGTAGTAGCACAACTTTTGTAAACGCAGCCAGGATGATGCCCCAGCGAACGGCCTGTACGGAAGACGGTTGTCAATGTCTGCCCTGTGTGAGCATGCGTGCCCAATCGTCCGGTTGTCTGCCGTATTGACATCGCGATGCCCGATGCGACCGGAAAAAGGAAGAAGTAGATGAAAATGGGCGATAAATGGGTGGAATAGTAGTTAATACGACCCGCGATGATTCATGAGGTCGAGAGGTTGGCCAGACCTGATATACTCCGTACGGACTGTCTGTAAAAACCGGATTATTGCCCCCGATGCGCCCAGCAGGGCGACACATCCCTGCTGGAAGTGCAGCGCAAGCAAGAGGCCGTTTGTTGTCGCTATCCGGTCGTACAGTACAAGTTGTCCTTGAGCTTGGTTGGAGGAGCGCTAGCGAAGTCTCCATGTAACGTCGCTGTCGCTGTCGCTGTCGCCGCCCGTCAGTTACTCTCCCAACCGCCAATCTCTTTTCCCCGCCCGCCCGCCGCCGTCTGAGACCGCACACCATCCCTGACCATTCATCCCCCCTTACCCACACCGTCTTCCACAATCCCAGTCTTCCTGCACGCGTGGAACCCCCAGCCTGCCCGCGACAGCGAGCTAGAGTCACTTGCTCCTAGTCATCAAGCAGCGCAAGCGGCGACTCAAATCGTCAGCAAGCCATGGCCTCGTCGGCGTCTTTCCCACCTCCGCCAGTTTCTAGCATTGGTAAAACAAGTTCCCCTTTCCGCCGAGCCTTTCTAGCTCTGTTGCCCTTGAGCCGCCCTGTTCTCTTCGTCTGCGTTGCTGCTGCTGCACTGCACTCCTTTTGCCACTGACTTGTCCTGCAATGCTGACTTGAACCCCCCTGGGGCCCCTCTCGCAGATTGGAACAACATTGGCTTCAAGGTCTGGGAAGGTAAATTCAGTTGCCCTAACTCTTTTCTTCTCCTCCCTCCCTTACTACTTATTTTCCTCTTCTTTTTTTTTTTTTTTTTTTTTTTTTTTTTTCCCCTTTTTGAATGCAGAGCCCGGCTGACGGCTTCAATCTAGTCAATGGTCACGTCGAATCTCGCTTCTCCCACTCCTCCAGCCCACAATGGTCTCCTCCGCAGTTCGTCGCATCTCCCTACCTTCCCATTCATGGAATGGCCCCCGGCCTCAACTATGGCCAGCAGGCGTATGAAGGGATGAAGGCTTTCCGCCATGCGCCTACCGAATCGCATCCAAATGGCCGCATCACCATCTTCCGCCCGCACAGGAACGCTGAGCGCATGCAGCACTCTGCCCGGTTCATATCCATCCCTCCGGTGCCGGAATCCCACTTCCTGGAATGCGTGAAGCTGGCGGTCTCTGCGAATGCCGGCTTCGTTCCCCCACATTCTACCGGCGCCGCAATGTACATCCGACCCCTCATCTTCGGGTCCTCCGCGCAGCTTGGCCTCTCCCCGCCCGACGAATACACATTTGTCGTCTTCGTCATGCCCACGGGCGTCTACCACGGCGTGCACGCGGTCAACGCCCTCATCCTCGAAGACTTTGACCGCTCGGCCCCCGACGGCACTGGCTCCGCCAAAGTGGGTGGGAACTACGCTCCCGTCCTGCGCCATAGCGAGAAAGCACGCGCCGATGGCTACGGCATCACCCTGCACCTAGACAGCAAGACTCGCTCCGAGATCGACGAGTTCTCCACCTCTGCCTTCATCGGCGTTCTCAAGGACGCGTCTGGACACGTCACCCTCGTCATCCCCGACAGCAAGAACGCCATTGACTCTGTCACTGCTTCTTCCATCATGGCCATTGGAAGCAACATGTTCGGCTACAAGGTGGAAAAGCGCCGCGTCCCCTACGATGAGCTAAAGGAGTTTTCCGAGGTCATGGCCGCGGGAACAGCCGCAGCGTTGGTTCCCATCAAGAGCATCACCATGAAGTCTCGAAACGACGTCTTCAACTACGAAGCCGGCGAAGGTGACTCGGGCGGCGAGGTCTACAAGAAACTCATCCATGCCTTGAAGGGTATCCAGCGAGGAGAGATTCACGACAAGATGGGTTGGCTGGTTGATATTGAGCCAGTGCCTGCCGGCTGGGTGGAAGCCTCCAGGGGTAAAGAAGCTGACGTGAGCATCGCCAACCTACCGTAATTCTTGATTGCACCGCATACTCTTCTTCTCCAACTCCTGAGTGAAGGAAGTTTATTGCTTCGAGGATTATCTGGTGCTGTTCTCTAAGAGCATTCCGTATTCATCGATGCAACAAAAGGGATTATTCAACATTAGCGGAACGGCGTGAAAATTAAATGGGCAAAAAGGGTCTTTATCTCCTGTGATATATATGCTCGGGCCGGTTAAAAGATCTCATCCTTCGGAATTTCGTTAATTAGATTTCTTTCGGGCCAATAGTTATAAATCCTGCAAGACAATGGGATCTCTAGTGCAATTCCTCCCCACGGGGCATAAGCAGTTGATTTGTGTCACATCGGCAACTTTGCCTGGAGAACGAAACAGCTTCCGATTACGAAGTGTGCATTGGCTTCCTATTATTACAGCCTGCTAATAATTCCTATGGTACAGAAAAAAGGCGGGAACGCAGCCGCCAGCCCGTCCGAAACGATTGACAGCGACCGAGGCATTCATCCGCCACAAAAGTAAAACAATCTGGTTTTTAGCTTTCCTTGGGTTTTTGGGTCGGCTTTTTTTTTCTTTTTATTCTTTTCGTGCCGGCAAATTTCGCCTCCAGCGAGCCGTGCGAAACGTGTAAAATGAACGACATTTCAGGGAAAAGTAAAAAAGCCTTGCGAGACAGACATGAAGTGTTCTAACATGGAAAACACATACGCGCGCAAGTGCACACTACACTAAAGTCATCTCCTCGACAAGAAGTGGTAATAATAACAACAGTCGTACAAGGGTAGACAAAGCCTCAGGACATCGGACAGGCTGCACCCCTTTTTCTTTTTTTTTTTTTTTTTTTTTTTTTTTTTTCCCTTTTTCTTCCTCTCTTTCTTCGCCATAGACGCGGTAAAGTCGCAAGTAGACGATGTGACAGCATCAAGCGGGTTAAGATCCTCAAGCGCCACCTATCGCTAAATCCACCAGAAACCATCCTTGGAGTTGAAGACAGGATCTGGTAAAAGTTAAGAGAAAGCCGCCTCGAGACATGGTAGCCCCGACAGATAAGTGATTAAAAAGATAGTACAGGACGTAGAAAGGTATGACGGTCTCAACCACAGAAAGGATTGGACGAGCTGGGGTATCGTAGAAAACAGGGAATTGATTGACGAAACTGGTGATTGCAAGATAAGAGTATTCTCATTGTTCATTCTTTTATCACATCTGGCGCAAGAAAGGTCTTGAGGCAGCAGCCCCAAGAAAAGTTAAGCCGTGTTTGATGAAACTTTTGCTTGCGGGAGGAGTGGCTTTGTTTGTAGGGGTGCCCGGCCCGGCGTTAGGACTAGAGGTGATGCTGGCATTGTTTGGAATGTGTTCATCGCGGAGCGCTTTAAGACTTGGGCGAGAAGGCTTTCGATCCCGGGGGGCAAAGATATTGTTAGCCATGGCGCTGGGGAGAGAGGTGCGAGAAGAGGTAGGTGCTGGCTGCGAGAAGGAGATCGACCCGGAGGATTCAGCCTTGGAGGCACGAAGAGGAGAACTCGCAACGCCGGAACGATTTGATTTGGCGGCTTTCTTGGATTGTGCCGGAGTTTTGGGCTGGGTGGCCTTTCTCTTCGCCCCGCTGGCTTTAGAGGCCTCATCGGCTGCGGCGGGCTTGACTTTTGAATGAGAATTGTTTTCGGAGTGCGCGTCAAACCCCAAATCTTTGAACAAGTCTTTTCCGACATATTCACTATCCGAGTTATTGACATTCGCGGGCAAACTGTCAGGGATAAGATCGAAGTTACTTGGGTCGCTATCGCTGCCGGTGCTAATATCATCGACGACGCCCGGTGAAAATGCTTTCTTCTCAAGTGCGCGTTTCTTAGCTTCTTTTTCTGTCTTTTTAAATACATCCTTTGCGCTTCCTTTCTCGGCGTAGTTGATACTTTCTGCATCGTCAGCCACTGCTGGCGAGTCCTTGTCAAGGGTAAGATTCTTTCCATTTGTCCCGAGCCTTGAGGCCGGAGTCGTTGCGCGACCGGTAGCGCTCTCATTCACAGGGCTGGTGACTGCGACAGACATACCGCTTGTGGCGTTGGCCCCGGATTCCGAGTTTGCGGACTTTGATGGAGTTGGGGCCTCTTGCGCGCTTCTGGCAACTTGTGGGACTTGGTGGGCGGTATCATCATCCTCATCGCCAGCGTGTGCAGGGGCGGTCAAGATAGGACTAGATCCGCCTGGAACGTCACATGCGACTGCATTGTCGGTATCTTGTCTATCAACCTCGGTCATCATGTCATCAAGGTCCTTTTGGGCGTTTTCCACGCGGGTTCTTAGTCTCGGAGCTTGAATAACCAGGCCTCGCTGCTCAGCGGCATGTAGCTGCTTCGTCAAATCAAGCACAAGGGCACGCTGCTGGAGTTCCCTCGTCGGACGACCCTGTTTTCGTGCGTCCTCAAGCTCTTTCTCCAAAACTCTCTCTCTATCGTGATTATCGAACCACGCTTCCGTAACCCAGTCAGGAAATTTACTGGTGAAACCACGCCTCGCTGCAGGCGAAGAAACGCGAGTCGAAGGGCCATCAACTTTCCGCGTTTCTTGACCTTTGGATTCCGGTGCTTTCTTAGAGCTCTTCGACTTCGACTCTGTAGCTGATTCGCGTTTTTCACCATCACCTAGGATCTCGATGTCTGGATTAGGAACGAAAAGACGGCTACCCCGGAGCAAACCCGCGATCTTGCGAGCATTTTGATTCTGCTGTGTAGCTGTTTGATCCTCTCCACCATTTGCCGATGTACTAGGGTCGTCAATCTTTGGCTCAGGGCCTGCTGCTGTCAGGTCTATGAAACATTTGGATTCACCAGTCTTGTCTTGCTTGGCTATGCCTTTTCGTTTGGAAGACCTTTTGGTGCCTGATTTCGCGTTTTTGGTCGACCTTGCATATTTGCTAGGCGAGGCATCGATCATTTGCACATCGGAATCGCTCCCTGCCTTCTCTGTGCCAGGGTGATTGGAATTTTGTTCTCCAGAGACAGCACCATTTGCCCTTTTATTGTTGGTCTGTCGACGCTTTGCGGGCCGTTCGATAGATCCAGGGTCAGAAATATTGATAACCACAGCTACATTGCTGGTAGGCTGCGTCGATGTATCGTTGGTAGTGGCAGTCTGTGACCGTGTATTGCGGCTTCTCGCACGAGTTCGCTTAGACAGACCGTCTGCGGTGCTGGCCCGGGTCAAGGGACTGTTTTCAGTGGGACGAGCCCGCGTGGATGCACTTTCGACTGTAGTATCCTGTAACGATGCCTCGTTGCCCGGCGTACGGGTTCGCGTAGATACATCTTCG